CCTCGTTTATTTAGATTATAGAGGGCGTCACAAGCTAGACTCTAGGATGACTAAATTAGGCAATCTTGCGACTAGTATACTACCTGTTAAGGCCGAACTGCGACTTTATTAGTCCAGTATGCGACTACTCGAACTACTCCATCTTAATCTTCAAAACAACAAAGTGAAAGCCGCCATGTTGTTAAATAAGAAAATGTTTCGTTCCTAAAATAGCAATTCCTGCTTTTTGAATACATTAACTTGAAATATTTGACCCTAAAAACACGCGGAAACAATTTTTTCGACTGCGAATAAATTATTCTCATTTTACTAAAAAAATTCAAGAAATTTTTAAAACTTCTTTAATTTTAAGGCCCATTAGTATTTTTCAAAGTAGAAACAATACATTTATCAATAAAGTTGTTTGCGTTTAACTTTTTTGCCTTGGGTAACGAGTTACAGAGTCGGTAAAAGTGTTTCAATAATTATGATCTTCAAACATCCTCCACACACTTAAATACTTTTGTTTTGTTTTCCTTCACTGCCATCTGACATATATCTCTAACTAAATGATAAAAATAATATTTTTACTATAATTATCCCAATTTAGGATAAACGCGACTTAGACGCCATATTAGTTTTGTATTTCTGTGAATTAGGATTTTAAACAACGTTGCAGTTTGTACTAAATTAGGCTTCTAGCCAACGTCGGTATCCAACGTCGTTTCGACCCAAAAATTATTCTCCAAACTAGTGCAGACTAGGGTTGGCACGAGGTTGGGCCGACGTTGCGCCCCGACGTTTGGTCGCGTGACACAACGTTGTCCCGACATCCAAATGCTGCTTGGGCCGTTCGTTCGTGCCATGAACTTTGGTACGGCTAATTTGGTACTTTGGTCGAAGATGGTCAGCTGGCCTCTGCGGAGTCGTCTCATACTGGCTTTTGTTAAAGCCCTGAGACTGTATGATGAGTTATAACTCGTTATAACTCAAGAAAAGGAACACACAATAGATCTGCAAAGTCGCGGTGATTAACTCCCCTCCTAAACATTCTACATGTAACATTTTATATTACTTATTTTTAATCCCCTCTTACAAAAATCCATCCTACGCCATTGCCTCTGACTCTTTCTCTATCTTTCCTGCAACGAATTTCACGCGGTGGCAAAGTTCAAATGGTTTTCAAACTTGTTCGGAATGTCATAGCCAGTGCGACTTCCCGTGACGCCACGGAATGCGATATTCCTGGCAGGGCCGCATTTCCAAGTTTAACAAGCCGGTATAGAATTGTTTCTGGGTTAAGGAAAGTTTTTCTATGCCGGCTCGGATAGACTGAATTGAGATGTAAATCAATCAGAACAACATCAATATAAAATATTTAAACATAAACAATAGAGATATACAGGGTGTCCCAGACTCAGCGTGCATTAGAAGTTTCTAGAGAACTACAATATTATTGTTTTACAACGAGATCTATTGATTAAAAATATTTTCAATATGGCGACACTTCCGGAAGTCCCGGAAGTTAACAGCAACTTAGTATCATATTTTTTGGTTCACTAGATCACCCAAGTAGCATTTTCACGACTTGCGACCACATGTTTACTAAACACAACGTTTGATTAGTTACAAAAAATAGTTAGCTCCCTACCTTGGGTATTAAAATAAATTTAAACGTTTTTATAACGTTGTACCGACGTTGGACTAGTACTACAGCAAAGTAGAAGCTTCTGCGACGTCGAATAAACGTTGTCTTGTAACCTTTTTTGCTTAAGTGATCTTTAGGTGATTCGGACAACGTAGTTACAACGTTGGACAATATAGAGTTTTCCGACGTCAGTTTCAGGACCTATTCCAACGTTATGCAAACGTCGTCTATTTTACTAATTCCAACGTTGTTTAGATTTCCTTATTCTTACGTTGGTAGGACGTCGAGTCACTACCTTTTCGCAACTGTATTGAACCATAACCTTAAATCTTAAATTTTCACTTCATTGTTCTGTTCAGTCAGACAGTTCAGTGCTGCTTTTATTTTTATAAAAAAAAACTTAATTAAAACGGGACATAAGAAAGGTACATATAAAACTAAATTTAAATATACATCGACATATATTACCGATAGTTTATCCACTCCCTCGTTTAATTAGATTATAGAGGGCGACACAAGCTAGACTCTAGGATGACTAAATTAGGCAATCTTGCGACTAGTATACTACCTGTTAAGGCCGAACTGCGACTTTATTAGTCCAGTATGCGACTACTCGAACTACTCCATCTTAATCTCCAAAACAACAAAGTGAAAGCAGCCATGTTGTTAAATAAGTAAATGTTTCGTTCCTAAAATAGCAATTCCTGCTTTTTGAATACATTAACTTGAAATATTTGACCCTAAAAAACACGCGGAAACAATTTTTTCGACTGCGAATAAATTATTCGCATTTTACTAAAAAAAAAATTCAAGAAAATTTTTAAAACTTTAATTTTAAGGTCCATTAGTATTTTTCAAAGTAGAAACTATACATTTATCAATAAAGTTATTTGCGTTTAACTTTTTTGCCTTGGGTAACGAGTTACAGAATCGGTTAAAGTGTTTCAATAATTATGATCTTCAAACATCCTCCACACTTAAATACTTTTGTTTTGTTTTCCTTCACTGCCATCTGACATATGTCTCTAACTATAATTATCCCAATTTAGGATAAAACGCGACTTAGACGCCATATTAGTTTTGTATTTCTGTGAATTAGGATTTTAAACAACGTTGCAGTTTGTACTAAATTAGGCTTCTAGCCAACGTCGGTATCCAACGTCGTTTCGACCCAAAAATTATTCTCCAAACTAGTGCAGACTAGGGTTGGCACGAGGTTGTGCCGACGTTGCGCCCCGACGTTTGGTCGCGTGACACAACGTTGTCCCGACGTCCAAATGCTGCTTGAGCATTGTAGACTGCATTCATACATGGATCACCGTGTATATAATTTTAATCATTAATTAAATTAATTCAAACTCCGTAGTTTACAAACAAGGCTAGTGCCCTGCAACACGTCCAAAATTGTATGCGTTTTGTACCTGGCATTACTTTAATTAACAATAGCAAAAGTTTATTTTGCACGTGCCCAACCGCAGAACAAACTGCCCGGTAAACCAATAACGCTCGCGGTTAAAACAATATAATTTATTGTACTATTATTTATTTACATCCGTTTCCAATTCTATCTGCTAAAACACCACAAATACTGGGATTAAACTTTTACAAAAAGGTACACAAACGTTTTTATATAAAAAAGGCTTTAATTTTAATTGTATTTGTACAAAAATATGGTAAATAGAACAGCGTTGAAGTAAAATAAATTTAATTTAAATAAAAATGTTCAATAAAATAAAATATACATATATTTGAATGTTTCCTTTCACCACAGACATCTAGTGAAAAATGTATGAAAATAATAAGAAAGTCAGGAAGAACTTTGCTAATTTATTGATCTGAGTTAACGGAATCTTTACCTTCATAAACTTTTGTAAAGCTCTTGTAGATGGCGCCATATAAAGCGTTTTCATTTTTTGTTGTTACAGAGTGGCTGATATGTATGGGAACGGTCGATTATTAGGTAAAATATACGGAGTACCGCAAAAAGTTAAATATAAAAGTTATAGAGTTTTCAAATGTCTATTAGGAAATAATAAATTTAAGTATACAGGGTCGGGCATAAAGTTGTGGCACATCAAAGTTTTTTTTAAATGTAACCTCCTCTGTATATTATTACGTATTTCAATTCTTCAATTCTAAGCAAAAATCGAGATACACACAATGTACCTCAAAACAAAAACTTTTCAAATTTATAATTTCAGTCTAATAACTATTTCGTTAACATGCATGTTTAATTTATGTCAATAATGACAGGTATTGATAATTTCGGTTCCAAATATCTCAAGACCATTACTGGTAGTGAATTTTACCAAGAGACCTTTTTTACGTAAAAACTTCGTAAATGTACATTTTTTACCCAGTAGTGATATACAGGTACGAAAGGAAAGTTATTACTCTTCAAGCCAGTTAAAAAACATGAAGGTGGCGCCCTCTACAAGTAGGAGTCATATTGACATCTAAATCAAATTTTTCATGTCAAAAAACTACCAGACAATAATTTTCATCTAAATACTGACGCTACTTCAGAAATTATTTAAAAAAATCGAAATAAAAATGAAATTTCTACACCCTGTATCTCGGAAACTAAGCATTTTAGAACATGCATTTATTCGAACTTTTTTACTTATTTTTATCTGCCGAATATGCTGCCGAAGTTTCCGGAATACAGTTCCGACCACCCTGTATATCCCCATTAGCCTGGCTAGTGATGTAAAATTTCCAGAAATATATTTTCGGATATATTTCCGGGAATATTTCCTGAAAACATTGGAAATATATGGAAATATTGGTAATATAAGAGATACTTTAAAAAATAAGAAAAACTGAAATATTTATTTATAAAAATCAGAACAAAACATCGCAAAACACAAAATAAGTTATTCTTCAAATTAAAAAATAAATTAAGGTTAAATTTGTACAAAAAAAAAATATTTTTGACACACTAGTCGAGCAACAGAGACTGAAGAAACCTTATTCAGTCGAAACAGAGACTGAAGAAACCTTAAGTGTAGCTTCTGAGTCAGAAATTCCTCAAACAGTACCGGAAGAAATAGAACATACAGTATCTAAGGAAGAAGAGCATTCAGTCGAAACAGAGACTGAAGAAACCTTAAGTGTAGCTTCTGAGTCAGAAATTCCTCAGACAGTACCGGAAGAAATAGAACATACAGTATCTAAGGAAGAAGAGCATTCAGTCGAAACAGAGACTGAAGAAACCTTAAGTGTAGCTTCTGAGTCAGAAATTCCTCAGACAGTACCGGAAGAAATAGAACATACAGTATCTAAGGAAGAAGAGCATTCAGTCGAAACAGAGACTGAAGAAACCCTAAGTGTAGCTTCTTAGTCAGAAATTCCTCAGACAGTACCTGAAGAAATGGAACATACAGTATCTAAGGAAGAAGAGCATTCAGCCGAAACAGAAACTGAAGAAACCTTAAGTGTAGCTTCTGAGTCAGAAACTCCTCAGACAGTGCCTGAAGAAATGGAGCATACAGTATCAAAGGAAGAAGAGCATTCAGTCGAAACAGAGACTGAAGAATCCTTAAGTGTAGCTTCTGAGTCAGAAATTCCTCAAACAGTGCCTGAAGAAATGGAACATACAGTATCTAAGGAAGAAGAGCAGTCAGTCAAAACAGAGACTGAAGAAACCTTAAGTGTAGCTTCTGAGTCAGAAATTCCTCAGACAGTACCTGAAGAAATGGAACATACAATATCTAGGGAAGAAGAGCATTCAGTCGAAACAGAGACTGAAGAAACCTTAAGTGTAGCTTCTGAGTCAATAGATATGCCTCATCTATATCAATAACATCTCCTTGCCAGTCTACTTCCTCAAAATCTTCAATAGTATCCGAAATAAAAGTTGATCTGTTGCCGTTTCCTATTTTCTTCAGCAAGTTTTCATTGTGGGATACATAGAGTAACTTAGCGGCTCTATCATTAGTAAGCTGGTTTCTCCTTTAGCGTTTATAGTCATATTCATTCAAAGAAGAGAAACAGGCTTACCAATGATAGAGCCGCTAAGCGACTCTATGTATCCCACAATGAAAACTTGCTGAAGAAAATTGGAAACGGCAATAGATCAATTTTAGCGTTTATAGTCATATTCATTCAAAAAACTGCGTTCCGTGGCAGCCGAAGATGCTAGCATCATCAAAATTCGTGAAGCTACTTGTGACAATGAAGATGAAGAACACAGTCCTTTCCACCAGGAGACTGGGTTATCAAAACTACTTTTCCATATGAAGTTATTTCCAAATAACTTGCCACTTCTACAACGGTAACCTGCTATTTCATCTATTATTTCTTGTTCCTTTATATTGAGTTTATTTTTTGATATATTAAGTATGCATTCTATGGCAGAAAGAATTTGGGTTTCATCAAGTTCAGAACCTTGTGATTTTGGATTCAGTAATTCTGCAGCATAATGAATGGGTTTAATAGCAAATTTTTCTCATTTTGTCAACAAACTCCAACAATTCGCATTTTTCTTTGTCGGCAAGTGGGGACAATGCAAGATTATTATGAATTACCCTTCTAATATCACAAAATGCTTTTACAGCTAAATGAATGTCGATCAGGGATTCCCCTACGCTACGACCTACGAGCTCGGGACTTCACCGTAGAAATACGAGGTTGCAAATAAGTAGGTGAATCCTCAAACTCGATATATTCACCATATTATATGTTTGTAAAACTGTTCTATAGTAAGTTTAATGTTTATAGGGTTACAAAATATGAAAGATATATTAATAAACATCGGGTTTGAATCGTTAATGACAAGATTTAAGTATTTTTAAAAATATTTTCAATATTCCCAATATTTCCAATATTTCTGAGACACGTTTGGAAATTTTCAATATTTCCGTTTACAACACTAAGCCTGGCGATATCCTTACGTGCTTTGAATAAGAAGATCTTATGTGACTTAATTTATGACCTTTCCAGATTTCCTAAGGTTAATTTTGTGTTTCACCTGTACTAAATAACAACATACAAGTCACCAGAACATTTTCAATAATAATTATTGAAAAATTCTGACATTGACGTTCTCTGTTAAATACCAATATTTATGTTTCCGATATAAATAGGATTGTTTCAAAATTCTATGTTCCCACAGCACTCACCTTCAATGGGATTTAACCAAAATTAAACCATGAAATATGGAAGAAGAGGAGTCTTGCGGGTGCGACTTACAGGACCCGGCCCAGTACTTAGAAACACTGAAAAAGAAGTACCTAGCACGCACGGCTAAGCTTCAGAGTCAGCAGGTTGAGCTGGAAAGCAAAATACAACAGATGGAGTCCTACTTAGGTACCTCTTTTTTTTATTAAAATGTATATTTTTCGATATTTCATCAAAACAAATTCTAGATAATAGTGATGTTGTGGAAAGTTCCTCCCAATGTATCTGTGCCGTCAATCGACAAGTTCCAAAAGTGTTTCCGAACTATCCAGAAATGCCAGAAAGAGACTTGGATACAGTGCCGAAAATTATCTCGGAAGGTTCGATTGAAAAACCGGCCGCGCAGCAGTGTAGTTTCTTTCAGAAAATGATGGAGAACGCTAAAAGCATTTTGTCCATGAAGTGTCAATGTCCTAGTACTGTCCAACAAACAAACAGGTAAAGTATAGTAAAATCTTAGAAGAAAAAGACTAAGGAGGAAGTATAATGCCATACCTGCGACATAGACCGTGTTCCCGGAACCGGAGCTGTTTTTCGGAACCGGGAATTTTGGTACCGCGCCTCTTAGGAACCGGGATTTCCCGGTTTTTTCGGTACTTTCGGTACTGACTAATTTTTGTTCAATGGTGGTGCAGTCCATCAACCAGTAAGCAAGGGATGGTTTTTCAAAGTAAAATGGATAAAAAATTAAGATTTTTAATGAAAATAATATCAAATTATTAAGTAATCAGTCATGAATAGTGATGCACAAGAGTCTTGAAAAAGTCTTGCAAAACCAAGACTCTTGCAAGAAATTCAAGACAAGACTTTCAAAATTTCTTGTGTCTTGAATTTCAAGACAAGACAAGAATTTAATATGCAAGAAATTTCAAGAGTCTCGCAAGATTTCTTGAATTCAAGATTTCTTGAAAGTTAGAAATGATACAATTTTTTAAGTGATAATTAGGTCTTTGCGCAAGTTATGCCGGGTTTATACCGGGAAAGATTTAAATAAATAATCTACATAGTTACACTAATGCAAATAATGCTTTGAAATTATTAGTTCCCTAACATCGGACACTCCCACGAAAGAAAGTCAACATATCACCGAGTCAAGAACCACCGAGGACACTAGCTATTTGACAGATCAATCGACGAGGGACAACACTATCACGGAAGAAACAAAGCCCTCAGACCAGAACACTCTGCCGAGAGCAATGACTCATGATCAAAAAGGGCTGCAAGTATCGATGGAAAGCAGTTCCAAAGTATTTTTTTCTAATCATTCGAGGTAAATGACCTGTTTTAAATTGTATTTGGTTATTTTTTTAGGACAAACACACTACCGGTACGACTCCGGAGTGTCTGTTTTTAAAGAATCCGGCTTTGGAGTGTGATTGTGACTCTTGTCGATGTATATCGTCCACTGATAAATTGGATGAGCTGCCTAAAGAGTCTGCACCTTCGAGTGAAAATGCTACCATTGAAAGTGAGTCGACCATTTCCAGTTATGATGTAGTGTCTCAAGAAAATTATTTATTTTAGAATTCATCACTGTCTATCACTTTCTAACAAATAATGTAATTATTTACAGATGCTGAGGTGCAAGTTAAGGTAGCCACGTTGAGCAAATCAGTAAGCAACGCCAAAGAGACAGCAAACATCGCTGTCAGTTGCATTTGCAAAAATAAAAAGGGTCCTATTAATCCACTCCCACAACGTAAGTTCTCAAACGTATTTCTTACTGCTTTTATTATTATTTTTTAACTTAGATTAGTCTATAATAATTGTTCCTTTGCAGCACACTCGTAACTCTACAGTTTCTTGTTGCATCTACGTTACTTCAGCGTTTTAGTACTCTCTGTATAAGACATATATATTGCATTTTACAGGATATCTAACAAAATATTCTGTATTTCTAATTCCAGCGTCTCAAAGTCTCTATCTGGGAGGCCTATTGTTTTTGGCCTATCTTTATGTCTGCATACACTCTTCTATCTTTGTACCCTGTACCAACCTTTGCAGGTCGTTGATAGAATGGGAATTGCTTGCTAGTTCTTTCTTAGTTCCAGTTTTCCTTTCCCAAATAGAAAGTATCGTTTGCAATCCAGGAACCTTAATTTTCCTTCTACACAGAATTACTTAAACAGTACCATAATATGTAGTACAAAGGCATATTTTTTATTTTAGTGCCATACCATGCAAGATCTACCAAATCCACTCAAAAATTCAAAAATTATCAGGACGGTCAAAATCAGTGTGCTTTCGTGGGTTCTCCTTTGTTACAAAACCCTGATTACGGACACCTGCCCACTCAGACTTCTAAAAATCTGCTTTATGGGCCCCAGGCAACCGAAGCTACGTCTATATCTAAAGTAACTATACTGAAATTCTTGAAATATTTTATACCAACTGACGAGGACATTTTTTAGTTGCCTTGCGACTGTAATGTTCAAACAGGACCCGCTAAAAATATTTGTTCGGTCGATGTGTTTTCTCTGAAATCGAAAGACATCTTGGAGATGCAAACGATTGCGGAATTGGCATTGAAAGAGAAGGAGATGAAGTCTCAGATCCAAAATTTGCAAAGAAGAGAGCAGCTGTATCAACAGGTGACGTTAACAGTCTATTTTACTATCTATTTTACTAAAGTTAACTTCATTTAATTTAGAGTACAAAAACCGTTAAACGGTTCACTGGAAATGTGGAAAACGAACGCTGTCGATGTTGTAAAGCGGACGATGGATCCGGCTTCGAAAACGAAATCAAGAAGGTCAGTCAGGAGCTCAGACTGGAAAACAATATCCTGAAATCCGAACTGATGGATATGAAGTTGGAGCTGAAGCATTGCCTGGAGAAAGTGGAAGGTCCCATGAAACAGAAACTGCAAAATGAGAAGCTCAAGTGTGAACAGCTTCAAAGCGAGTTGAAGAACGCTTCAAAGAATATGCTGATCAATCAGGTAAAATAATTATGGAACAGAAAGAACTTTTCGTTTATTTTTTTACTTATTGTCATTATCCTGAGCTATTAATGGCTAATTTGATTTTAAATATAAGGATACATATCAACGCGAGATGAACCAACTGAAAATACAACTGTGCTGTGCCTGTAACAGCATCGCAGAATTGAACCAGATGAACTCCCGACTCAAAGACGAGATGAGCCAACTGGACTGTCTCTGCGCCAAACTCGAAGACGATCTCATCAAACAGAAACTCAACGAGGCCGAAACCATCAAAAGACTGACCAACCGTAAACCCGATTTTGATCGTCCAACCAAACAATCAGAAGAATTCAAGTTTGTATCTACACACACCGGAAAAGTCTAGGGATATTACAATTTTATCCAGCCATCGTCAGTAATTTTATTATTTGCATTTCTGATATAATAAAATTAAAATAAACAAATAGTTTACAGGACGTATTGGAAATAAAAATGCGAAATTTACCGAATTTTTCAAATTTACCTTCATTTTTATTGAACTCAAAAAAATACACACATTTTTTTTTATTCTAAACTGTGAATTAAAAAAAAAGATAAAACCAATTTTACTTAATAAAGGGTATAGCCTCCTCTACTGTTCATTACAGCCCTACATCGTTTCTCCATGCTCCTGATCAGGTTGTCGATCTCTTCTTGAGGTACAGCCTGCCACGCTGCATTCACGGCCCGAACCAGTTCCCTACGAGTTTCACGAGGCATATTCATTCTCAAAATTCTTCTTTGGACCGCGTCCCATACGTGCTCGATGGGGTTGAGGTCAGGAGATTGTGCCGGCCAGGGTAAGATGTTTAATTGATGAGCATTGATAAACTCACTTACCACTCTGGCTATATGAGGCCGTGAATTGTCATGCATCATAATGAAGTTTCTCCCAAAATCATTGGCATATGGTAACACGATTGGCTCAAGAATTAAATCACGATATGTGATTCCTGTTAGAAACCTTTCAAGAAAAACGAGATCAGTTTTTCGGCCTAACTGGACTCCTCCCCAGACCATAACTGTTCCACCTTGATAATGGTGCACTTCCTGAACATGATCCAACCGAATAGGATTTCCCGGTTCTCTCCATACCCTAAGCCTTCTCGAATCCGGATGAATTCCAAAGCGTGACTCATCCGTGAAGAGAACATTGGCTCATTGTTCATTCGACCACTGAACATAATCTTGAGCCCACAAATATCGTACCTCTCGATTTCCTCTCGTTTAGGGTTGAGCTCTCCAGGGGCGTCTGCTTCTTAAGTTGCCCTTTCTTAATCTATTGCGAACAGTGTCAGGACTAACTGTTACATTATGTGTTTCCTGGAGAATTAAACTAAGCTCTGGTGCTGTAAGGTCGGTCGGCGTCGAGCATTTAATTGTAAAAAATGATCTTGCTGAGAGGTAGTAATGCGATGTCGCCCTGTGTGCCTTTCAGCAACATCACCACGGTAGCGTGCACTTAATCGCGGTATTACACTTTGCGTTGCATTTAATGCTCTAGCTACGTCGATTTGGCGCATTCCAGCTTCGAGCATACCCATGGCCCTTAGCATTTCGTCTCTGTTAAGATGTCTACGCTCCATAATGTCGTTTAATACTAAACAGACAACATTTATTTTTAAATTTAATACAATGATATCCCTAGATTTTTCCGGTGTGTGTATATTATCACAAATTATCCTTCATTTCACGCTCGTATTTTCTGTAGGTGTGATTCGAGTTTGGCCGTGGTAGCCAGAAAACTGAGCAAAACCATCAAAGATCTTGCGCCTTGCGACCAATGCTCTAACTTGCCTCCAGAACTGACAGGAGCGGCAAAGTGTATCAAAGAACTGACGGACATGGTGCTGAGTCGGCGTCGAACCAAGAGCCCCAAGGCGCATCACGGCTGCAGCTGTGAACAGGAACCGCCCGAGTCACCCTCGAAAGACTACATGGAGCGGGAGTGTTGCTCTTGTTGTGCCGGAGATGCAGGTAAATGATAGACATCAAAAAATATTAGATCACTTATTTCTAAACAAAAAAATCAATCAGGAGATCAGCGTAGCGAGAAATACAAACCCCCAGGCAAAGTTCCAGAAGAAAAAACTGTTAAAACACTGTTATCAGTGCCAGAAACATTCGTCGAAAAAGGAGCCAGTAGTAAATTTGATGTAAACATGCCAATGGAGAGTTATTACAGCGCAAAAGGTATCAAAAAAGGTGTCTTTAAAGAAGGTACTTTAGGGTTTTATTACATTTTAATTAGGAGAACCAGTAGCAGACGAGATCGTCTCCGAAACGCCAAAAGAGAAACCGTCAATACCGAAAGGAAAGGACTTGCCATGCAGTAACCTCGGCTTTCCTTGCCTCAAAGGTACGAAGGCAGAAGGTAAGGGCAAAAGTAACTGACATAGGCAGAGTCACAAATAACATTTTAATTTCTTTGTCAATAGCCTATCATTACCTTGTATAGTAAACGCCACGAATGTTTGGGAGTGATTCATCGGTCGCTACCTTTGAATAAGAAGACTAAGGAAGGAGCATATCAAAAATCTTAGGTACACCGCGATGGGCCTCAAATATGGCCGACTTAAATTCCGGTTTATCAGTGTCGTTCTAATTTTATTTAAAAAATATAAAACTATGATGTAGGGTAGACGTGGGGTAGACTCAATAATTTTTTGTTTTATTTTACGTTGTGAATAAATGTTGGTAGTTATTAAAATTGTTATAAAAATATATAATTCTAATAAAAATAGATAAGTTATAATAAGTATTTATTAACACAAACATCCGATACGCTACTGAAGCAGGTAAGTCAAATTAACGTATCTAAATTCCTTGACATCTAATCTTTGACAAGTAATAAATAAAAGCTAAAATGCAAGAAAAATATATAATTTAGTTAATTTAAGTGAATTTCATAAATGATCGGTTTACTACACGTATGTATATTATATAGTCACTTACTAGCGAAAAGTTGTTCCATTATTTCACTCAATTTTTGCCGAGATCTACCGCACGCTACACAACCAACTATTTTAGAGTCTTTTTCGATAAATGGCGATAGTGTCACTGTTAATTTAAGTGCTGCCACAATTTCCATCTAGATTTACTACGTTTATACAACTATCAGTAGTAGAATAAATAATAAATAACATAAAATAAGCTCCGTAAAGACTGACAAATCCACAAAATTTCAAATCAAATTCAAATGTGTCAAATGAATCGTCAAACAGAACTGTCAAGGATCCCCACCCTAGAGTGCTTTTATGGTGCTTTTTCCGCCCACCATGCATGAATACATGGATAGCATTATGCTCCTTCCTTAGTCTCCTTATTCAAAGGTCGCTACAATGTGAACTAATCTGTTCAAGGTCACATAAAACTTAATTCCAGTGCCGCGGCGTTTCAAGTCATATAATAATCAATATATAATCTGTTGTAATTTGTTGTTTTAACTGTCAAAGTCTTGTCAAAACATATATTTGGTTATAAATATAAACTGGAATGCATTGGTCGCACTGCAAGCACACCAATGGACTGACGCACAAAAACGAATCAATCAAAGAAACGCGATACAGTATCGTCTTTGTCAATCACGCTAACATTTTAGAATAAGTAGGAGGAGCGCAGGCAGATGATTAGACCGGGACTTTAAAACCTACGTCTGCGGTAAAAATTTACGTTTTTAATGTAAAAATGATAGCGCGCATGTCGATTCTAACTTCATCAAGCGATTAATTACTCCCAAACATTCGTGGCGTTTACTATACAAAGAACCACATATTTGCAAGGCATACATAAAATATGTTCTGTCGTTTCTTCATTAGATTGACAAAATCTGACTGACTGATGAAATCTGATTGACAATCCCACCACCTTTAGATGCCTGTTAAGCTTAAAATTCCTTGCTATAGTAGAACCATTACCGTTTTAATTGTCTTTCTGTCTCTGCTTATCAGGCTGTTGTAAATTTTGGCAAATGTTCTGCTATGAACTTTTTCAACTATCTCTGCCCTGATAAGTTTATCAACCATTCTGCAGATTTCTTGGCTTCCCCCTGTTTTGTGGCCATTTTTGTGACTGCTTTTGCCGCGCTACAAAAGTTTTCTGGGCATATAAATGTCATTAATTATCATAGTTTGGCCATTTTATCTACCTTTTTGTTACTCTTGTGATTCTTCTTGTGATATGGAGCAGTTGCTTGGTATACAAAACTAGAGCAACGTACAGCAAGGCAAAACCTGTGCAAAGTACAGAGACTGGCATGTATCTGCATCACAGGTGCCATGAGAACATGTCCAACAGCAGCAATGGAGGTCATTCTAGACCTAACACCACTGCACATTGTCGTCGGTAGTTATGCCAATGCGACAATGATTAGAATGGTTACTGACGGAAACAGTACTGGGAGAATTTTCAGGTCAGGGGCTTGGAACACCCTCAAAAAGAAAATTCCACTTCTCCAACTCCCAGTGAATGACATACCAAGAATTTACAACTTTGAGAAACACCTCACTGTAGTATTGAGTAATAAAAAGGATTGGAAGAAAGAAACGCTTACTCAGCATATAAAAGACCAAAGCAGGGACAGGGATAGGAGTATTTGGGCCGAAAACTGAATACTCCGAACCAATGGGTACCTACCCCAGTATCCTTCAGGCAGAAATTTGCGCTATCGAAAGATGCGTACAATTTATCTTAGATAGGAACTATCGAAAACAGGAAATTGCCATCCTATCCGATAGTCAAGCAGCACTTAACGCGATCAACTCAGTAACCATCAATTCGAAGTTGGTCAAAGAATGCCTAGAGAAGCTCAACAAATTAGGCAAAGAAAATAAAGTCCTCCTATTCTGGGTGCCTGCTCACCAAGGGATAGAAGGCAATGAAAAAGCAAATGATCTAGCTAGAAAAGGAGCGAACACTCCACTAACTGGACCAGAACCGTTCTGTTCTCCAAACGGGAACCAATTGAAAGCGGAACTGAAGAATCTGGAAGACTCCATCCGTAACTTGGAATGGGTGTCCTCCAACGGTCTAATACACTCGAAAAAGTTTCTTAGAACTTATGACCGAGAAAAATCAAAGGTTTTCCTTGATTTAAGTAAAAACAATCTTCGGATTGTCACGGGATTTCTAACAGGACACTGTCTCCTCAACGAACACCTCAGTAAACTGAAACTGAGAAACAACGGCGAATGCAGATTTTGTGGGGAAAATGGGGAAACACCAGAACACCTTATCACTGAGTGCGCCGAGACTACGACCATTCGTGCCATGAACCTTGGTACGTCTGATGTCGAGGATGGAGAGCTGGCCTCTGTGGAGCCGTCTCAGATACTGGCTTTTCTTAAAGACCTGAGACTGTATGATGAGTTATAACTCGTTATAACTCAAGAAAGGGGAACACACAATAGATCTATAAGGTCGCGGTGATTAACTCCCCTCCTAAACATTCTACATTCTACATTCTACTCTTGTGATCCTCGTGCCCTGGTACCGAGACTGACATAAATTGCTAGAGATTACCTTTAATATTACGTTACTTTTTAAATTTGGATTATGATAGATTCTATTCCAGTTGATGAGGAGGCCCCAAAGAAAGATAAAGCTTGTAAAGCACCTTGTTCTGCTGTTCTAAAAGTGGTAGGAGATGGAGAAGTTGACAAGGCTTTATCACAAGGTAGTACAATAATTTTCAATCTCTTTAAATATCTGTTACTATACCTATTATTTTATTTTTAGAACCGAAATTTGCTGATAAGGGTTTACAACAAACAGAAACGGTATTTTTTTTAAATACAAAACTTGCATTAAATATCTTAAACGCGATCTATTTTAGGAGTCAAGAGGGACCCAAGAAACGCCTATGGAAAAACCGACAAAAAGTGTCGATAAGGTTGAAAAAGAATCAGTTCCCGAAGTGCCAGGAGTTACAAAATCGGAAAAAGAAGTCCAGTCTTTAGAAGATGTAGGTGCGGGAGAAAAAGAACATCACCGTTTATCTGAAGACAAGCTAACATCGACAGTTGAAGAAGAACAAGAACCAAAAGAAGAGGGTGGTGCACTAGCCCGCGATGAGGAAGAACCTCATAAGGATGAAGATCAAATTGGAGGAACGCATGATGAAGATTTAGCTGAAAAACCTTACGAAGGTACACCCGAAGAAGAAGCAGAGGCTGGTGCGAAGATCGGGAGCCCGAAAAAAACATCAAAAATGTCGCGGAGTAGTGCAGATTCAGCTAACAAACCATCCGTAGGAGGAATAGAGCCTGGTGCTAAGGTCGAGAGTCCGAAAAGATCTTCACAAATGTCGCGACACAGTAAAGAACCCCACGAAGAGGCACTCGAAGAAGGAATGGAAGATGGTGCAAAGATTGGGAGCCCGAAAAAAGCTTCAGAAATGTCGCGTCACAGTAAAGAACCCCACGACGAGGCACTCGAAGAAGAAATGGAAGATGGTACGAAGATTGGGAGTCCGAAAAAAGCCTCAGAAATATCGCCGATTGGCGAGGAAGAAACATACGAAAGAAAAGGCGTCGAAGGAGTGGAGGATTTTATGAAATCAGAAAGTCCAAAAAGATCAAAAGAATCACAGCCTCGAAAACAGGACGTAATGGACACTAAACCAACTTTAAGTGAACTGGACATTGCTGCTCTTGGCTATCCAGAAGTAGCACACGACAAAGCTCCACCGAGTCCAAGAAAAACTTCGGTAACTAAACAGCCAAGTGACCAAGTTGGAATTAAAGCTGAACCGACTAGAGGTGGACTCGATGAGGCTACTGCTGGAGAACAAGTACCAAAGAAAGCATTCAAAGGTTCAAGAGAAGCTTCTCCTGATTTTGAAGATCGCGAACCGGCAATACCAGAATACGAATCAGAGCCAGAGAGACCGGAGCATGCGATAGAACACGAAGAACCAGAAAAACTCTCGACTACAGAAGGAAGAGTACCATTTTCGGAAGAGAGAACAGGTGGTCCGTTTCCGTACGAAGTCGAAACAAAAGTTTACGCTCAGGAAAAACCGGTGTCTACTCTACATCTTACTACAGCTGTAACCACGTCAGGAAACTTGGAGGTCATTACTGAAGGTCCGGAGGGAGCTGTGGAGACCACCTTGACTTACACCCCAAGCGGCAACATTGTCGTAGAAACCCAGATGGTCGATTACACAGACCAACCCCAGGATATACCTCGGGAAGACGCACTTGAGGCAGAAATATACGGTAGGAATGCAGGGCTACCAGAATCAGCTATACCTAGAGTTATGGTCAGGGGAGAGGAACAGCAGAAAATTCAATCAATGTTCCCTGTCGACTCCAGTCGAATATCAGGTAGTATTTTAAATTATTGTGGGCGAAAGTTGTTTCTAAAAAAGATGTAGGTCCTTCAGGTCCGGAAATGGAGACGCCATATACGGGAAGTTCGGCAACAGGGGAGTTAGAATCTTCGCGTGGCTTGAAACATTCTTGCAGGGCTACTCCAGTAGCGTCAGTAACGTCTAAATGTAAGGCTTTCTTTTTTCATCACGATGTTTTTGTATTTTGATCAGATGTACGAGGGTTGTCTTTTATACAGGGTCGCTGTTATGTATGGAAACGATCGATTATTAGGTAAAATATAGGAGGTACCGCAAAAAGTTAAACATAAAAGTTATAGGGTTTATAAATATCTATTAGCGCGTAATAAATTTAAGTATACAGGATCGGTCATAAAGTCGTGGCACATCAAAGTTTCATTTTTTTTTAAACGGAACCCCCTGCATATTATTGCATATTTTGGTTCTTCCTTCAATTCTAAGCAAAAATCGAAATACACACAATGTACCTGAAACCAACCGTTTCCGAGTTATTGACCTTTGAAAATATCACTTAAAGAATTTGATTTAATTAATTTCGATATGTTCAGTTTCATTTAACGATGCCATTCTGACGAAACTGTAATACTTAAAATGTTGTATCCTATGTTATAGGGCTTATTTCTCTCTACAATTTCCTGTCTCACAATGTACCGTTTGTGTCCAGGAAGGGTTCATAGTTTCATAGATGTCGATTTTCGAAAGAAACCAGAACATGTATATTATTTCGTATATTTTTCATTTTATTGATTTTATGGAAAGCACTGTTCATTAAAATGTTGTATCCTATGTTATAAGGCTTGTTTCACCCGACAATTTCCTGTCTCACAATGTACCGTTTGTGTCCAGGAAGGGTTCATAGTTTCATAGATGTCGATTTTCGAAAGAGATCAGAACATGTATATTATTTCGTATATTTTTCATTTTATTGATTTTATGGAAAGCACTGTTCATTAAAATGTTGTATCCTATGTTATAGGGCTTTCTCTCTACAATTTCCTGTCTCACAATGTACCGTTTGTGACCAGGAAGGGTTCATATTTTCATAGTTGTCGATTTTCGAAAGGAATCGGTACATTTATTTTATTTCGTATATTTTTCATTTTATTGATTTTATGGAAAGCACTGTTCATTAAAATGTTGTATCCTATGTTATAGGGCTTTCTCTCTACAATTTCCTGTCTCACAATGTACCGTTTGTGACCAGGAAGGGTTCATATTTTCATAGTTGTCGATTTTCGAAAGGAATCGGTACATTTATTTTATTTCGTCTATTTTTCATTTTATTGATTTTATGGAAAGCACTGTTCATTAAAATGTTGTATCCTATGTTATAGGGCTTGTTTCTCTCTACAATTTCCTGTCTCACAATGTACCGTTTGTGTCCAGGAAGGGTTCATATTTTCATAGTTGTCGATTTTCGAAAGAAATCAGTACATTTATTTTATTTCGTATATTTTTCATTTTATTGATTTTATGGAAAGCACTGTTCATTAAAATGTTGTATCCTATGTTATAGCCCTTGTTTCTCTCTACAATTTTCTGTCTCACAATGTACCGTTTGTGTCCAGGAAGGGTTCATATTTTCATAGTTGTCGGTTTTCGAAAGAAATCAGTACATTTATTTTATTTCGTATATTTTTCATTTTAATAATTTTATGATAAGCACTGTTCATTAAAATGTTGTATCCTATGTTATAGCCCTTGTTTCTCTCTACAATTTCCTGTCTCACAATGTACCGTTTGTGTCCAGGAAGGGTTCATATTTTCATAGATGTCGATTTTCGAAAGAAATCAGTACATTTATTTCATTTCGTATATTTTTCATTTTAATGATTTTATGATAAGCACTGTTCATTAAAATGTTGTATCCTATGTTATAGGGCTTGTTTCTCTCTACAATTTCCTGTCTCACAATGTACCGTTTGTGTCCAGGAGGGGTTCATAGTTTCATAGATGTCGATTTTCGAAAGAAATCAGTACATTTATTTTATTTCGTATATTTGTCATTTTAATGATTTTATGATAAGCACTGTTCATTAAAATGTTGTATCCTATGTTATAGGGCTTGTTTCTCTCTACAATTTCCTGTCTCTCAAGAATTGAAATACGTAATAATATACAGGGGGTTCTATTTAAAAAAATAAAACTTTGATGTGCCACGGCTTTATGAACGACCCTGTATACTTAAATTTATTACTCGCTAATAGATCTTTAAAAATCCTATAACTTTTGTATTTAACTTTTTACTGTATCTGCCGTACTTTTTGCGCTACTGAAAGATGACAGTTAATTTTAATAATATAATAATCATACGGTATATGTAAACTATAAAAGACAACCTTCGTAACCAAAGTTTGTTCTTTATTATCAGTTATTTATATTTTACCCAGATGCTGCTAGCAGGCTAGCTGTTAAAAGTGCCGAATTGAGCAAGACTGCAGCACAGACAGTATCATCCAAAGAACCAATGGTGTCGGATGATGAACATGTAGCAATTGAGGGGCACACTTCTGGAGGCATACTGATAACACTTTTCGTATAAATTAAATAATAATACGCGCTTCCTTTAGGTATGTCCGTTCCAAATGTCGACGGTGTTCCAACTAGTAAATCTGCTGAACAGGAAGAATCAAGCGAAATTGAAGAAGCAGCAATGGGGTCCGAACGCGCGGCAGAGTCAGACAGTACATTATTACCTTATTTTAGTTCTAATAAATCTTATATATTTTCCCTGTGTTTTAAGGTCCTCCTACAACGACAGGAGTAGAAGTATATAGTGCTGAAGTTTGGGCTGCTGAGCACCTGGTTTCCGACGACGAAGCAGTGATGTTTTCGGATGTTCAAGCCTTGCCACCAGGAGCGGAAAGTAATTTTTTTCATTCTTTTCCTTCTACTGCTTTATTATCTATTTTCCTTGTTACAGTGTACGTTAGTGAAGACGGTGGTAGAACTGGATATTCTTACGACCCAGGTGATATATATTTTAGTTGTTTGTAAAAGACTGTTCAGTCATCACTCCCCGCCACGTCATCATTATTTGTCAAATACCTAGATCATAATATATACTTACGCGGATAAGTAAATCATTATGAAAACTGTCGCAAACATATCAACGACTTCCATTTATCTTATTTTTTTGTTGCATACGCGGTGCTTCTACTCCATCTATCCTTGTCGAGGACCTATCGTCCACGCGCCAAATTTGAAATTTTAAAAATTTAATTTGTAAAACGCATATATTTGAACTTGATATTGAAGTTTACTGTCACAAAAATTAAATTATATAAAAATTACATTTAGCCACTTCCTACGAATATCAATATTCTTAGGAAATCTAACCAGAAAGTATGCACGTGGTTTAATATAAATAAACGAACAACTGAATACTTTACTTGCCTATGAAAAGATAATTCGGGGACCTTTATATTAGAACTTCCACACACCAAACACTTTCGACTCCTTTTTACGAGTCTTTAGAAAGTTCAACGAAAGAAAAAATAGAAATATAATTGCACAAACTTAAAATTAACTTCTCACTGAACACACTCGCATCCTTGGCTATATAAAAGCGGTCAATAAAAGAGTAATTAATACAATTTTTAAAATAAAAAACGCACAAAAATGCCTCGTTACACAATGGAAATAAGATTATTACAATATGATGACAATGAAAAGTTTGTTTCCATAACAATGTATAATTTGTACTTTCTAGACCGTATAAAATTGTGATTACTGTGGAAATACGTGCAAATTTTAATGCGCATGCACAAAGTAAGGTCCTCTAGAAAGACAAACCTATTGGAAGTTTCATAAGTGCAGTAAGGAAGGTTTGAAAATGGCATATCGTGATGTTGGAAACATATTTTTTAATGCTAAACTTATAGCGTTGATCTAGGAGTTCCACAATTATATGACGTGACATTAAACGATGGTTGCACATTCTATATTGTGTTGTATTTGTTTTAACAGGCACTAGGTCCAAGGAGCACTTAATCTAAACGACTCAGTGCTCTTATCGTGTTGCTTTTTTTTTGTGTTTACCTTTGAATAAGAAGACTAAGGAAGGAGCATAATGCTATCCATGTATTCATGCATGGTGGGCGGAAAAGCCACCATAAAAGCTCTCTAGGGTGGGGATCCTTGACAGTTCTGTTTGACGATTCATTTGACACATTTGAATTTGATTTGAAATTTTGTGGATTTGTCAGTCTTTACGGACTTATTTTATGTTATTTATTATTTATTCTACTACTGATGTATAAGGTAGTAAATCTAGATGAAGTATTGGCAGAACAAATTAACAGAGCACTATCGCGATTTATCGAAAAGACTCTAAACAACTTTTCGCTAGTAAGTGACTATATAATATACATACGTAAACCGATCATTTATGAAATTCACTTAAATTAACTAAATTATATATTTTTCTTGCATTTTAGCTTTTATTTATTACTTGTCAAAGATTAGATGTCAAAGAATTTAGATACGTTAATTTGACTTACCTGCTTCAGTAGCGTATCGGATGCTTGTGTTAATAAATACTTATTATAACTTATCTATTTTTATTAGAATTATATATTTTTATAACAATTTTAATAACTACCAACATTTATTCACAACGTAAAATAAAACAACAAATTATTGAGTCTACCCCACGTCAACCCTACATCATAGTTTTACATTTTTTAAATAAAATTAGAACGACACTGATAAACCGGAATTTAAGTCGGCCATATTTGAGGCCTATCGCGGTGTACCTAAGATTTTTGATATGCTCCTTCCTTAGTCTTCTTATTCAAAGGTATTAACGATTTATATTTTATATTTTAGGGGATCCAAGGGTAGAAATGGTAACTGTAATTACAGGGAAACGCCCGCGCCGCACAGTGATTCAGATTGCCAAAAAGTGGCCTATAGGATATTTTTAATTTTATTACAAATTCTAGACTTATTAGGTTTAATGGCGGATTTATTAACTTGACAAAGATAGTCCAAGGAATAAACAAAATATATTTTAGACTATGTTTGTTTAGCATAAAAATATTAAAAAAGTGGGATTTTCTATGAATTTTATTCAAAAATTATGGTTTTTAAAAAGGTTTGAAAAATGCTTCGAACCTAGTCAAAAAAAGGTTAATATACCCTTTAGATTAATACCCATCTGGTCTAAATTAAAGAAAAAAAAACAAATTGCAATATGCGTTAAATGGAGTCTTCAAACTCATTTTCTTCATGACATGATTCACAACCACTTTCTTCTAGTTCCTCTTCACTATCTGATTGACAATAATATTCTGTTGCCATATAAGTATCATCTGCGGGTAAATCTTCACCTATTTTTAGTGGCGACTACTTTCTCTGGAAATTCAAAGCCTAGTTGGACTGCTTTTGCCGTCTCATTTTTATGTTCCTTCCTTAAATTAGAAACTGTAGCATATGCCAGAACTTCCGAAGTGTAAGAATCTCTCATTTCTAGAAATAAATTCGTTTTTAATCTTTGCCATTAATTAAAAGCTATAAGATATTATAAATTAATTCCTTGGCAATATATACCTTTGGTCTCTTTATTTTTTTAGGACTTGGACAACTCTGAAAAAAAAATCTTCTTGAAGAAAAAAAATCTTCCATTTGAAGTAAATTTTTATTCAGCCAGAGACAATTGTTGGAAATAAAACTGCTCCAAGTATAATTACATTTCCTCCACTTTTCTGACCAGTTATAAACAAAATTTTCAATTTGCTTTTTTTTCGATAATATGTTAGGAATATTATTCTCACACAAAAATTAAATAATTTCATCAATAATATCCGCTTCTGACCTATTATTAAAATCAATTTTTAAAAACCTCTCACATATTGATCTGCGGCTTATTGTTCCTAAAAATAAAAGGAATAGAGTACGGGAGGAACATGTGAGTCTCTATAGTTACACTTTTACCACTCCAGAGTTACTCAAAAAATATTAGTATAATAATTTAAGAAATTATCCATGGAACAAAAATCAGACTACTGGTCAACTTAAAATTCTAATTTATATATCATCTACCTCGGGGTCTCTTGGGGTAAGATACTTGTGGTAAATTAAACTTGGTATAATACCTTTTAAAAATTATAAAATACAGAAGCGGAGATCTGCGGAGTTTTCAAGATACGCAATTTTAAAGTTTATTTTTTTCCAAAAAAAACGCTCTGCTATGTTTGTGGTAACTACTAGCTTCATAAAAAAATATTTAAGTTAATAAAATTCTCTTAAAAAGTACTTACCTTGGTCTTCAAAACCCATTATAATTTAATTTATTTCTAAGTCTCTGAACTAAGAACCAAAATATATTAGCAACACTAAACCCTTATCAACAAATAATTGATATATTTAAACTACAAAATCTAACGAAAAAAAAAACATTCCTGTACGCTTTTTTATTACGATTAAAAAGTGGATTGTGATAAATTTGAATAAATGGACCCATCATCTGTTGAAAATAATATCATTGTTGAAATTTTCGAAATTTTTTTCTTGACCCCTATGCGTCGATTTTTTTGAATCTGAACCAATGTGCGCCGTAAGTAAACTATAATAATTCCCATTATCGGCTATTGTCTTTAAAGTATTTTGCTATTATATTTATTTAATATTTCAGCCGAGGATGTAAGGACGGGAGGTATCGGAGGTAAGTAAACTAAAATATTTTCTGATTTTCGACCATTGTGATTAAAGTATTTTGCCTCGTATTTTTCTATTTTATTTGTTTAATATTGCAAACGAGGTAACAACAGAAAGTCACGATGGTTACGGAGGATACAAAGATGCTTTTGAAGCACAAGGTATAAATATTTCGGTATTTTTTGTGTTGATTTCAGCAGTAAGAAATAAGGAATAATGTCTCGTTTATATTATACAAGAACAGAAGAAAGTGCAAGGGGTCGTTTAGACTCTAAGACAATTTGAGCAAACTATTTACTTATTTTTTCGTAGTTAGTGCTATTTGTCTGACCTAAAAAGAAGACACAAGCGTAACCTCGTTTAGACATTTCTCATTTGTTTTCGGCTTGGTAAAGTATATAAATATTTCTGAAACCACTAACCCCTAACCATATTAACCAAGACAGATGCCTCAACTATCTAAAACCGTAGTAACGCTAACGTTACAAATCAAGACGAGACAGATTTTACTCAAGCCAATTTTTTGAACTGCACAAACTAAAGGTGGCTACACACACTACTGCAAGCTTGTAAAGTCTGTTATTTTTTAATCTCCGGTATTAGTATAAATTGATTGTTGGTACAATACCTCATTTAATATGAAATAATATTCTACTTTTTGAAATGTATCGGGCCCTAATTGTACCTAAAAGTAATATATTTTTACAGCGATATACCATATTGTAAACTATTTAATATTTCAGTCACTTAAAAAGTTAATTTGTATTGAATAATTGCCTACCATTAAAGGAAATTTGAGCTATAATCCTTGATGGGCATATTCCGGTTTTGTTCAACCGATTTGTTCTCAAAACCTGAAACATCTACATATAAAAAGAAGCACAGGTCACTAATTATAATAAACTTCACCCTTGGAATTACTTCCACTAATTATAATAAATTTCACCCTTGGAATTACTTCTATTACAATTACAATACATTCATCTGCATTGGCATTTTCTACTTTTCGATGGGAAACAATCAACTTCCCAACATTTTTTAAATGATGTAACAATTCCTCTTGTGGTTACTTTTCCATAGATATACTCATCTCTGTCCCCATAAAGCGCAAACTAAAAACCTAATAAACAATTTTATACCGAATATAGAAATAAATTTAGTATTCTTATAACTATTAGGTATCGTCCAAATCCATGTTAATAGATAATTAATATTTTGGATTTTTGTCTTTTATTTTTAAATATATTTTTGGAACTGCTGGTTTTAGTAATTATTAAATTAAACGAACTAAAAAGTCAGAAAAAATAAACAATTCTTAACCATAACCCTAAAAAAATACAAAAAATGCAGATCTCCTGTCAACTTTCTTTATTTTTTATTTATTCATTATTTTTCTAGTGACGTCACAGGTGGTATGCGTGAACTGAACGAAATTGGAGCCGCTAAAGGTGCGTATTCATTATCCGCACGAACGAACGAACGAATGTTCGCTAGTGGTATGGACGGGGACCGCACGATAGAACCGCACGAGAAGACCGCACGCATTTCTTCATTCGCGCGCCAGTTCAAATCGTCAAGATATTGTTATAAACCTGTTTTTTTTTTGTTTATATACCGTCATTGAATTATCGCTAAGCAAGTTACTATGGAGCAGTGCATAAGGAGTCGGGCTAGGAAGCGAGAGACCGGAGTTCGAATCTCGGCCGGAACATCACTTTTTATTTTTTTTAAATACTGTTGTATTCTATAGTTTATTTTTGTAGTATAAGAAAAAGAACTATTTATTCTGTTATTTTTTAATCTCCGTTATTAATATAAATTGATTGTTAGTACAATACCTCATTTAATATAAAATAATATTCTACTTTTTGAAATGTATCGGGCCCTAATTGTACCTAAAAGTAATATATTTTTAGTGATATACCATATTGTAAACTATTTAATATTTTAGTCACTTAAAAAGTTAATTTGCATTGAATAATTGCCTACCATTAAAGGAAATTTGAGCTATATAATCCTTGATGGGCATATTCTGGGTATGCAAATACTTCCTTTAAATTTTGGGTGTCGTTCAACCGATTTATTCTCAAAACCAGAAACTTCTACATATAAAAAGAAGCAGAGGTCACTAATTATAATAAACTTCACCCTTGGTATTACTTCCACTAATTATAATAAACTTCACCCTTAGAATTACTTCTATCACAATTACAATACGTTCATCTGCATTGGCATTTTCTACTTTTCGATGGGAAACAATAAACTTCCCAATATTTTTTAAATGATGTAACAATTCCTCTTGTGGTTACTTTTCCATAGATATCCTCAACTCTGTCCTCATGTGAATTCAGAGGCAATGAAAATGAAAATTATTTACCATAAACATCGCAAACTAAAAACCTAATAAACAATTTTATACCGAATATAGAAATAAATTCAGTATTCTTACCTATCGTCCAAATCCATGTTAATAGATAATTATTATTTTTAAATATATTTTTGGAACTGCTGGTTTTAGTAATTATTAAATTAAACGAACTAAAAAGTCTTAAAATAAACAATTCTTAACCATAACCCCAAAAATTGCAGATCTCCTGTCAACTTTCTTTATTTTTTATTTATTCATTATTTTCCTAGTGACGTCACAGGTGGTATGCGCGAACTGAACGAAATTGGAGCCGCTATCGATCATACCTTGTATTCTTTGTACCATGACGTCTAAACGCCTTTGATGTACCGACTCGAAGCGGATGGTCGAGCGCACGAACGAACAAACGGCCGCATGCGTTCGGTCCCCGTCTAAATATACCGCACTTTCATTCGTTCGTTCGTTCGTTCGTTCGTTCGTTCGGATAATAAATACGCACCTTAAATCTGAAAGCGCACGCAGGCGAACGCCTTTGATGTACCGACTCGAAGCGGATGGTCGAGCGCACGACCGAACGAACGGCCGCATGCGTTCGGTCCCCGTCTAAATATACCGCACTTTCATTCGTTCGTTCGTTCGTTCGTTCGTTCGTTCGTTCGTTCGTTCGTTCGTTCGTTCGTTCGTTCGGATAATGAATACGCACCTTAACGATCATACCTTGTATTCTTTTTACCATGGTGTATTACCAACTATTTCATTCATAGTATTGATCACCCTGTAGATATAAAAACGCAATTAAAAGGTTAAATGTCATCAGGTGGCACGTCTGGCACAAAGGGGACCGATATACAGCAGCAATCCCAAACGGGTGTTCCACCTGAAGACACGACGACACCTGAGTCAGCAGTGACGTCTGTAACAAAGGAAGGCGAGACAACAATCGGCACCTCCGAGTCAGGTCTGCGCAAGACTACCGATTGCGGCTGTCAATCAAAAGATCAGAAACATCAATCATGTCAATGTTGTGAATGTAAAGTACGTTTTCCTTATTAATACCCTAGCCATAGAAACGCAAGTATGCGCAGCGCGAACGCAGCGAAAAACGCTCTATAACCGTGAAAAATTTCTTTTTGGTTTAGGAAATTGGAATATCAACATCTGGCGACAAGGAAACCATAACCGAACAAGAGAAAACCATGGGCGTACCGTCGGGCAGCGAAGAAGCCAAAGAAGATACCGACTCAGAATTCGTAACGATAAGCGAGAGCACTGAGTATACTGAGGCTCAAGATCGTGCAGCGAAAATAGGTAGGATATATTGATTTTCCTTAACAACCGGGATAGTTCGGGAGCTAGACAAGTTAGAAAATAAATTAGTAAAGCTGAGTTTTTACGTGTTTTTAATTTGTCCTGGTCAGTAATCGTCTAGGCTAGTAGACGTTGCATTTACCTGTTGGTACTTATAGTATAGTGTCTATACATAATAAGTAATTAATTAGATTTACAATGATTATAAGTGTTAAAGTTATTAAAGGACTACTAGAGCTATAATTTATAAAGGTCTTCATAAAGTACAGAGTCTCCCAAATAAATAAAAAAATATTATGATAGTATTTTTAAAAAATATATATATACAGGGTCGCTTTTATGTATGGAAACGGATTATTAGGTAAAATATAGGAGGTATATGTATACAGGGTGTTTCGAAAAATCTGGTCATTGATTAATCACGATCCTGCTAAAAGCGCTTGACGTAAAAAGCTGATTTTTGGAAAACAGATTGACTCTAGGGTGTAGAGGTTCGATGAGAAGGGATTTTTCGAAATTCCAGTTCCAAGAGGGTGAAACCACCCCTCAAATATTAGAATATTTTTTATTTAAAAACCGATGAGTTTTTCGGAAAAACTCTTAAACACATATAATTTATTTTGTTGTTTTACATGTTTTAAGATTATTTTTAGAATTTAGATTATTAGAATATTTTTTATTTAAAAAAAATTTATACAGGGTGTTTCATTAAATATGACCATTGAGTAATCACGATTCTTCTTAAACTGCTTGACGTTTAAACCGCGGGTACACGCTAGTAGATGTATAAAATGAGAGTATAGCCGGAAATTACAAAATTTTCGTTTGACATTTCAATTCTTCTATTATTGTACATTGTGTATTACGATTATTATTTAAAATTGAAGGAAGAATTACTAATATACAGGGGGTTTCATTTAAAAAAATGAAAATTTGATGTGGCACGACTTTATGAACGATCCTGTCTACTGAAATTTATTACTCGCTAATAGATAGTTAAAAATCCTTTAACTTTTGTATTTAACTTTTTGTGGTACCTCCTATATTTTACCTAATAATCAACCATTTCCATACATAAAAACGACCCTGTATGTATATTAACAATTTTAATGCTTTATTTATCTCGGAGTATCTAGTGTTTAAAACAAAATTTATGCATTAATGATTTTGTGTTTATTATATATTGGGTATTGCGATAATAATTAAAAACTAATACAACCATATACAGGGTGAATCTAAAATAAGTGCAAATATTTTTAGGAGTAGTATATCATGATCCCAAAAACACGATTATGTTTATTTTTTCTCGCGAAAAAAAAAATTTACAATGTTTTTTAGATTTTACTTAAAACACACAATTTCTTGATAATATGGCAACATAGGTAGTAGATTAAATTTACACGAAAGAAAACGCAGAAAGGTTTTTAAATTTTCGTAAATTTCATTAAATTAAACTAAACTAAAAAAATTTTGGACTTGTATGAAAAGCGGCAAAGAGAAAATTTGTTTCTTCTATCGACATCTACCAACCCTGAAAATATTTGCATTTGGGGTTTGCTAGCTATTAGAGTATTAACTATTAATTTTAATTTAATAATACTAGACGAAGCCCTGGACAAGCGGCAATATCCAGAAGAGATTTTAAGAAAGGATCCAGATTTCGCTAGCAGATCTAAAGAAGAACAAAGGAAAATATTGAGTGAGCACGGATATGCACACCCTGTATCCAGTGGCCTGTCGAAGGAGATGCTCGAAAAGCATCCGGAACTAAGTGGAAAATCGAAGCAAGAGCAGCTGGAAATTTTGAAGTCTTACGGATACGCGCCATTACCGGAAGTTGACGATACCATCACCACTGCCGAAGATATAGTTCGAAAATATCCTGAACTGGCTGGAAAATCTCAGAAAGAGCAACATAAATTTATATCTGATTTAAGACATAAAGAGAAAAAGAAAATTGCCGTCGATTCAAGTTTAATTGAGAAACATCCTGAACTAATCGGAAAGTCTGAGGAGGAACAACAAGATATTCTTCGAGGTTATGGCTACAAACCGAGCGAAAATGAACGTGTATCTCCTAAGATATCTGACAGAGAACAAATTGGAGCTCAAAAATCTGTTGAAATTTATGTTGGTGAAGAAATGTTGGCTAAACATCCAGAATTAGTTGGCAAAAGTAAATCTGAACAACAAGCTTTGCTTAGAGATATGGGCTACAAAGCAAGCAGCAAAGACCAAGTTGGAGTGGTAAGAAGTAGAGATCGAGATGAGATTATTGTTGGTGAAGAACTGTTAACGGAACATCCAGAATTGGTTGGTAAAAGTAAATCTGAACAACAAACGTTGCTTAGAGATATGGGCTACAAAGCAAGCAGCAAAGACCAAGTTGGAGTGGTAAGAAGTAGAGATCGAGATGAGATTATTGTTGGCGAAGAACTGTTAACGAAACATCCAGAATTGGTTGGCAAAAGTAAATCTGAACAACAAACGTTGCTTAGAGATATGGGCTACAAAGCAAGCAGCAAAGACCAAGTTGGAGTGGTAAGAAGTAAAGAGCAAGAAGCTGCTGATATTGCTGTTAGTAAAGAACTATTGGCCAAACATCCAGAATTAGTTGGAAAAAGTAAATCTGAACAACAAACTTTGCTTAGAGATATGGGCTATAAAGTAAGCAGCAAAGATCAAGTTGGAGTGGTAGGAAGTAGAGACCGAGAAGCTGCTGAAATTGCTGTTAGTAAAGAACTATTGGCCAAACATCCAGAATTAGTTGGCAAAAGTAAATCTGAACAACAAACTTTGCTTAGAGATATGGGATATAAAGCAAGCAGCAAAGATCAAGTTGGAGTGGTAGGAAGTAAAGACGGAGAAGCTGATGAGATTATTGTTGGTGAAGAACTGTTAACGAAACATCCAGAATTGGTTGGTAAAAGTAAATCTGAACAACAAACATTGCTTAGAGATATGGGTTACAAAGCAAGTAGCAAAGACCAACTTGGAGTGGTAAGAAGTAAAGAGCAAGAAACTGCTGAAATTGCTGTTAGTAAAGAACTATTGGCCAAACATCCAGAGTTAGTTGGCAAAAGTAAATCTGAACAGCAAACTTTGCTTAGAGATATGGGCTACAAAGCAAGCAGCAAAGATCAAGTTGCAGTGGTAGAAGATGATGAAATTATTGTTGGTGAAGAACTGTTAACCAAACATCCAGAACTGATTGGTAAAAGTAAATCTGAACAACAAGCTTTGCTTAGAAATATGGGATACAAAGCAAGCAGCAAAGATCAAGTTGGAGTGGTAAGAAGTAAAGAGCGAGAACCTGCTGAAATTGTTGTTAGTAAAGAACTGTTGGCCAAACATCCAGAATTAGTTGGCAAAAGTAAATCTGAACAACAGACATTGCTTAGAGATATGGGATACAAAGCAAGCAGCAAAGATCAAGTTGGAGTGGTAAGAAGTAAAGAGCGAGAACCTGCTGAAATTGTTGTTAGTAAAGAACTGTTGGCCAATCATCCTGAATTAGTTGGCAAAAGTAAATCTGAACAACAAACATTGCTTAGAGATATGGGCTATAAAGCAAGCAGCAAAGATCAAGTTGGAGTGGTAAGAAGTAGAGACCGAGAAGCTGATGAAATTTCTGTAGATGAAGAACTGTTGACCAAACATCCAGAATTAGTTGGTAAAAGTAAATCTGAACAACAAAGAATACTTAGAGATATGGGCTACAAAGCAAGAAACAAAGATAAGGTCGGAGATCAACCAGAAACAATTGTAAACGAAGAAAAACTATTAATGAGATCCTTGGAACAAGATCGGACTGGTCAAACATCAATGGTTGTCAGTGAAAAACTGATAAAAAGTTATCCCAAATTAGCCGATAAGAGTCCCCAGGAACAGCTTCTAGTGTTACTAGATATGGGTTATATAATAGATGAAATACTCGAACATATACCTATGAGTATGGAAAAGGTACACGAGGGAATTCTGCCACAGCCATCAGGACCTTGCAGAGCGCCTTGCGGTAAAGTTGCATCGGTTCGTAGCACTGATCGTCGCTCCGGTAGCAAGCTTCCTGATGTTCCAAAAGCCAAAGCTTCAGAAGAGAAGCATATCATAACAGAAAATTACCAGGAGGAAACTCCCGCAAGAATCCCACCAGCCGGAGCTTCTGAGTCGTCTTTTGGAAAAGTTACATCGGTTCGTTGGACTGATCGTCACTCAGGCAGCAAGCTTCCTGATGTTCGACAGGAAACACCCGACGTTCCAGTAGCCAAAGTTTCAGAGGAGAAGCATATCCTAACAGAAGATTACCAAGAGGAAACTCCCGCAAAAGCCCCACCAGCAGAACCTTGTAGAGCACCTTGCGGACGAAAAGCTGCGACTATTAGTTCAGTTAACAAGTTACCTGATATTTCTGTAAAAAAATCCGAAGCTCCGGAAGCCAAAGTGTCAGAAAATAGGACTATTCAAAGAGCTGATGTAGTTAAAACTGAATCTAGGGAACCCGATGTATCTTTTAAACCGCACTATAAAAATGTGGCGATCACCAGCCAACACGACGACGTTGAAGAAGCCTCTACTCAATCGATTCCAAAAAGCAAAACTGTTTTCGCCCAAAAGAAACCCAAATCGCGGGACGACTCTGCTTCTTGCAAAGCGAGCTGTAGAGCGATTTCCGTGCAAAATTCTCACACTAAAGCTGACGAAACAATAGATACTGCCGGATCTAGCGGACACGGAGATAACTTTCAACACATCTCGACGCAATCGGTCTCGAAAAGCAAGAGCATCTCTCTACAAGAAAAACCCTCGTCCAGAGATGACTCGGCCTCGTGCAAAGCGAGCTGTAGAACTATATCGGTCCAGAGTTCTCATACCGATTCAGGTTCTCGCAAGAGTGACAGGAAAGACAAGAAAGATAAAACAGACAGGAAAGGAAAGAAAGAAATAAAGGAGATCGTTGCTGCTCGTACGGACAGTACAACGACTTCGTCTTCTGCCTCAGATGCCAAAGACAAGCAAAAAGAGAAAAGAGTGGGAGAGGTACCTTCGATCGTATCGGAGGTTTCCGATAAAGAAAGACCGGTAATTCAGCCTCCGGCAAGGAAAACAAAAACTCAGCGCAAAAAACGTTCTTCGAGAGTGATGGACTGTCTTAAATGTCAATGTACCGATCCTTGCAGATGCATAGTGTGCTCGCGCGATGTTCTAGAGCAACGTAGACCTATGTCGTATCCCACTCGATCTTGCGACTGTCCTCCCTCCAGGAGGCAGGCCGAAATGCGAATGCCTCAAGCTTTATCCCACGGAGGACATCCCATCGGATGTGCTTGTATACGGTGCCTGTGTAATCCTTGTAGTCCCTGTCCTCCCCAATATAGATTCGAGGGTCAAGAGATTATCGATGATGACTTTAGGTCCAAAGTTAGACGGCACCCATCGAAATGCGAATGCGTCGACTGTTTGTGCCTCCCGAAAATAAAGAAGATAGCCGAAACCAAAGAATATCCTGTGGTTTTCGATAAGAAACAAATTTACCAGGTGAGTTGTGCGTGTCCTAACGCGCAAAAAGCGAAGAAAGCCGCCGCCGAACAACAACAGGTCAGATCGAGGATACCTATTTCCACGACTAGTCCGAATCCTCCAAAAATTAAGTCCGAATCCAAGGCAAACGAGGAGAGCCAACCTGTCAATGAAAAATTATCGAAGTCGGACAGTATCTATAATTCGATATCTTGCGACTGCGAGCAATGTAAATGCGCGGAATGTCCCGATACAAAAGGCAAAGCTCCAGAAGGAACTGCAACAGCAAAACGTGCTCCACAGACCGAATCGTCTTTACGGAAAGATGAAGACTGTTGCTGTACGGGTCCGTGCATATGCAAACCCTGTCCCATCGAAGAACTCACGAAGAAACTTCGAGCTGCCGAAGCCCAACTGATCGCGGCTTTACAACAGGCAGCCGTGGGTCTTCCGCCCGTCCCTTCTTCAGCAGTCCAGCCCAAAGACGCAGCAAGGAGTGTCGACGAAGATTGTACTTGTGCGCAGTGCGTCTGTCCCGGAGCGGTGGGCGACCAAACGCCGACAAGAAAGGAGCCTCCGGAAAAGACACAGTTAGAAGAACATGACGAGGAGTGTAGATGTCCGGATTGTGTATGTCCCGGTGCGGACATTAAGCCCAAAACTGAACCAAAACAACAAGCCGACGAGGAATGCGATTGTCCGGAATGCACTTGTCCGGAAGCGCGTAACAAACCTCTTAAAAAATCTGCCTCTCAACCAGAGAGCCAGGTTCGTTCTGCTATAAAAGCGGAACAGGGATACGAAACGCAGAAATCCGCATCGCAAACCGCGCCTACTGCGACAGGCGCGGGTGACGACGATTGCGACTGTACCGTGTGCGCCTGTCCGGGACAAACATCGTTGCCGAAAAAAACCACGCCCAAACCGTCGGACTTCGAAATGGCCGATTGCGATTGTCCCGACTGTCAGTGTGCGCCGTGCGCCGACCCGAAAGTATCCGGAACCCAAGCGGAACCAATAGAGATAGCTGATTGCGACTGTCCGGAATGCAAGTGCGGCCCGTGCGCTGATCCTAAAGTGACACCACGAGCACCAGCAGTGGAAGCACAGAAGCCGGGAGAAGAACATCCGGAAGATTGTGCGTGTCCAGTGTGCGCTTGTCTCGGTGAAGAAATTGAACCTGTAAAGTCTAAAACCGGACATCCGGATGATTGCGATTGCCCGATCTGTCAATGTCCCGGTGAAACATTTGCGGATGCAAAACAAACTCAGCCACTTCAATCTCAACCAGATCATCCGGACGATTGCGCTTGCCCAGTTTGTCAATGCCTAGACGAACAGTTCACGGATGCGAAAGACATGGACGCCAAACCTAGTAAAGTTTCGTATAAGGAAGCCAGTAAACACCCGCCAGACTGTGACTGTCCGGAGTGTCTATGTATTGACGGACAAGATGGAATTGAGTCGGCGCTGATACCCCTGGTTGAAACTGAGGTGCACGCGCTGACTTGTTTCTGCGCGCAATGTCTCTGTCCCGAATGCACCACAACGGCTACGCACGCGCAGGAATGCCGATGCAAAGAATGCATTTGTGATCCATGCGACTATCGATCCGGCGGAGACGTATTCGTTAAAAAACAAGAATCGGGTGTGGTAGAAAGCAAATCTCCAGGCCATCCAGCAGACTGCAGTTGTATTACCTGCAACTGTGACCACTGTGCTGACAAGGCTAAACCAAAAACCGCTGCGGCAATAACAGGCCATGCGACAGACTGCAGTTGTGGTACCTGCCTCTGTGAAGACTGTGATGACAAGAATAGAGCAAAAACCGCAGCAGTAGAATGCAGATGTGCTACTTGCCTCTGTGACGACTGTTTTGGCAAGACTAAATCAAAGACCGCAGCGGCAATAACAGGCCATCCGCCAGATTGCAATTGTACTACCTGCAAATGTGACGATAGTGTTGACATGGCTAAACCAAAAACCGCAGCGGCAAAAACAGACCATGAAGAAGAATGCAGTTGTATTGCCTGCATCTGTGACTACTGTGTTGACGAAATTAAACCAAAAACAGTAGCGGCGATAGAAAGCGAAAAACCTAAAAGCGGGGGAGACAGCAATAAGGGACCAAATTGTACCTGCGAAACCTGTATATGCATCGATTGCAAAGGTATGTCGTTGAATAAGTGTATGTCAGTTGAACATGATGAAACGTGCAAATGTCCCGACTGTATATGTTCGCCATGTCTTAAACAGTCCGGGCTTACATCAGTAAAAATAGCATTGTTACAAGCCCAGACAAGGCCAACTCAATCTCAAATGAGTTCTAAAACATCCAAGGTCAGGTCTACTAATCCGACGTGCAAATGTTCAAGATGTACGTGTAAAGAATGGGATTCAGACCAACCAACTGTCGAATTCACGACAAAAGGATCTAAAGTTCAGTCCTCACAAAGTGTGCCAGTAAAACAGTCTAAAGTGAAGTCAGTAGACCAGATGCAGCACGATCCAGACTGCGACTGTCCCGTCTGTGCATGTATGGAGGCTGAAGTTGAGATTACAAGCGATTACAAGCAACAAGTGACACAGAACGTTACCGACTGCGCCTGTCCTGTCTGTAAGTGTGAAAGCGATGATACTGGAGTTCCAATAAAAGATCAAACGGTCGAAAGAAAGGGTATGGGAACTGTCGAACAGGGAGTCCCGATAAAACAACAAGTGAGCAGAGAACAGCACGACCAGGAATGTACTTGTCCTGTATGTAAGTGTGAAATGGTTGATACTGGAGTCCCGACGAAACAATCGGTTCTTAAGCAACAAGTGAGCAGAGAACAGCATGACCCGGAGTGTACCTGTCCTGTATGTGAATGTGAAATGGCTGATACTGGAGTTCTAACACAAGAACAAATGGTCACAAGAAAGGGTATGGGAGCTGTCGAACAGGGAGTCCCGATAAAGCAACAAGTGAGCAGAGAACAGCACGACCAGGACTGTACTTGTCCTGTATGTCAGTGTGAAACAGCTGATGTTGGAGTTTCAATGGAACCGATGAAGTCGAAGGTTTCGCAAAAAATTAGCAGAGAACAGCATGATCCGGATTGTATCTGTCCTGTGTGCGCATGTTCAACAGCTGATATTGGAGTTCCAACAGCTTCTATACAGCAAATGAGCGCCAAGCAATCAAAAATTTCGTCTGCGCAGCAAGCAGCGGCATTGCAATCTAAACCTATGTCGTCGGTGAAGCCAGCCGTGTCGTTCCATGGCGATCAGAAAATGGATCCACCGCCCTTTGAAGTACCGCATAGGATTGAGTGTAATTGTGAAAGGTGTGACTGTGTCATATGTGCCGGCAAAAGTGAGTTCGATACGCAACAAGTATCGGCATTGCAATCTAAACCTATGTCGTCGGTCAAGCCAGCCGTGTCGTTCCATGGCGATCAGAAAATGGATCCACCGCCCTTTGAAGTACCGCATAGGATTGAGTGTAATTGTGAAAGGTGTGACTGTGTCATATGTGCTTACAAAAGTGAGTTCGATACAATATTTATTAATTCTTTTTTAACGTGATTTAAATAATTAGGAGAAGGCCGATCGAGTCCAAGTTCGCGTGTGGCGTCGACTCATACAGCTTCAGGTAACTAACCGTATTATAAAATATTATTGTACAGGGTGGCGCCTCTCATACGCCGCGGAGGCTCCAAGGAGAACGACAGTTTGGATTGAAATGAAATTTTGTGAGCATATATAGGTTAATTCAGAGCACTTTTTAAAAATATAGAGAGTTCTACAGGGTGTCCCCCAAAAAAGTTACATATCAAAGTTGTGTTTTTTGTATTGGAACACCCTATATATTAATTGATTTTCGGATTCTTGGAAAAAAATAAAGGTGAGTTTTATAAGAGAAGTATATGATTAAAATGTAAGGTATATGACAGGTATCTATAAAGAACAATTTTTAAATTGCAATAAAATCTACCTAAATTGGAATTTACCCGCTATAGCCTAATATGTAGTTAAATTAACTATTGTACTTTAAATCAAAATAAAATTTGATCCAAAATGTTATACAGGGTGAGAAAAAATTAATATTGAACATTGGTCACATTTAAAAGCATGTTACTCTCTTATTTTAAATGGAACACTCAGTATATTATTCCGATATTCAATGGAAAATTAATCTTATCTCTTCAAAATACTATTAAGATTGCCTACCCCTCAAACAAAGATTTTCCTAAATATTTCCTTTACATGATTTGATCTGAGTAGATCTTTATTATTTGATAAAATCTAGGTAGCTGCAATATGTCTGACGTTACTTCAACATAGCTGTCTAATTAGTCCAACTTTAACAACTAGTTATCATTTTGTGTCAGTTAAAACAAAAAAAATTCTCAGAAAGTTGCCGAAAATGCAAACTTATCCTGCATCAGAGAAAATTGATATGATTCTATTAGTGGGTGAATGCAGTGTGCATTAAAATATGTTTTAAACGTGTATCTTTTTATTACCCTTGAGTATTTTACTCCACAATCTTTAATTTTTGTTAAATTAACAAAAGATATATCACACAGCCACCTAGATTTTTTCAAATAATAAAGATTTACTGACGCGAAATCATAAAAATTAAAATATTTAGGAAAATCTTTGTCTGTGGGGTAGGCAACCTTAATAATATTTTGAAGGTATACAGACCGGACCACCGTAGGAGTAACATAGGCAAAACCGGACGAATTAGCGTATACCCGTCCGCCGGATAAAAAGTAAGCGAAAAAATGCGATAAAATAAAAATAGGTAGATATGTGATGAGAATGTTCTTCTTTCAAAACGAATTCATAGATTCTCGCGACAGCTCTCATGCAAAATTTATTCAAATTACTGAGGTAACAGATTCTTCATCTAGCACGGTTAAAAGAGTCCTTAAAAAGAATGGATACCGATCGTATAAAGCGCGCAAAACTCTGGAAATTTTCCATGAAGACCAATTTCGGCGTATGGCGTTTTGTGAATCTGTAATGGAAAAGGCCAATTTAGAAGAAAACTTTACTCGGCGTATAGTTTTCACCGACGAATCAAGTTTTCATTTATTGAGTCGTCATAACCCTACACAAGTACGATATTGGTCTCGGGAAAATTTGCACAGATATTTTGAGGTACGCACGCAATATCCTCAAAAGCTAAATGTTTGGAGTGGTTTTGTAGGGGAACATATGATTGGTCTATTTTTTATAGAGGGTAATTTAACTGTTGCAAAGTATTTGGACCTGTTACAGCAGCAGATTGTGCCTAGAATTCGTGAGTTATTGGGAGAAAGATTCCACAATGTCTGGTTTCAACAAGATGGTTGCCCTGCCCACAATGCCCGTATTGTTCAAGAATATTTGAACAATACTTTTAATTTTCCGCTTAATTAGTGGACATGGAACTATTTTGTGGCCCGCTAGATCACCAGATCTTTCTCCCAATGATTTCTTTTTGTGGGGTTATGTAAAATCCAAAGTGTATGGTCATAATAGGGCTAATAATCTGGATGAGCTTCAAGTAAAAATACGAGAGGCTTTCCAAACTATTAGCCCTAATATGTTAGCCAATGTCAGACGGGGATTTTACGACCCCCTAGGCTTCTGTTTAGCACAAGAAAACAAAATAAAAATCAAAATAAAACACTAAATCACCACAATACACCAAAACACTTTTTCTTTTACACTGGACGCGCGTTTCGCTAACCATGTTAGCATCATCAGCAGATGATTATAAACTTATCTATATTTACATTTATTATGATTATAACTTATCAGTTTATAATCATCTGCTGATGATGCTAACATGGTTAGCGAAACGCGCGTCCAGTGTAAAAGTAAAAGTGTTTTGGTGTATCGTGGTGATTTAGTGTTTTATTTTGCTGTGTAACACCAAAGGTTCCAACCCTCAACTGTAATAATAGCACAAGAAGGTGGTCTTTTTGAACACTTGTTATAACTTTTTTTATTTAGAGTAATATTTTAGTTTTTTTATTATTTTAATGATGTATTTTTTAATTTTGGAAATGAGTTTTGAGGTTAGAGAATTTATTTATTTTTAGTTTTGGCTTGTAAACACACTCAAATAATAAATATTTAAGTATTTTTATTTTAAATGTTACCTTAAGTGAAGGTAAACACTTAAAATGAAAATAATTAATACTCGGCACTCCTCGCGTCGTATTTCTAGTCTGCTACGACCGACCCGTCCAAGCACAACTGCAACTGCCTACTGCCTGACCAGCCGACTAGCCGGCAGTGAATATCAAGTACGAACGCAATCGGGTAAGCGTAAATTTGTCCGGCAAGTTGCTATATTACTAGTAGCCTGGTCTTTTCTGTATATAAATTCCCCATTGAACACCGGAAAAATATACTGAAGGCTGAATGTTCCATTTAAAATAAAGGAGTAACTTGCTTTTAAAAGTAACTAATGTTCCATATTAATTTTGTCTCACCCTGTATAACTTTTCGAGTCAAATTTCAATTTGGTTTAACATACAATGGTTACTGTAATTAAATATCAGGCTATACAAGGTCAACTAAAATTTAGGTAGCTGTTATCGAAATTTACAATTTACTCTTCATTTTCACAAAATGTGAAATATGTCAAAATCCTTAGATTTTAGGTATATGCTTCTTTAATATCTCAGCTTTATTTTTTTTTCCTAGAATCCGAAAATTAATTATTATATAGGGTGTTCCATTAGAAAAAACACAACTTTCATGCGTAACTTTTTTTGGGGACACCCTGTATAATTCTATATATTTTTATAAAATGTTTTCAGTTAACCTACAAATGCTGCCAAAATTTCATTTTGATAAAAACTACCGTTCTCCTTGGAGCTTCCGCGGCGTATGAGAGGCGCCACCCTGTATACTTTATATTTTAATGTAATCTAATTAAATAGATGGACAAAGACCTGCTTCGCGTGCTGTATCAGCTCATACGACCCCAGGTAACTTTGATATACAGAGCGGTTAATTTTTTTTTATTAATTATTATTATTATTTTTTTAAATTCTAGAACTACATAGCGCGCCGCCGCCCACGGTAAGAAGTCAAACCTCCAGAACTGGAGAACAAGCAAAATGCGAATGTGACGGAGTGTGTGTTTGTCGGCACTGTGAAGAAAACAATGTGGCATCGAGGAAAATGCGTAAGACATTTTGTTTTTGTTTCGACATTCGTAAAATAATTATGGTTATCGCAAAACAATTTTCGATGCACGTGTTCAACCAGTGCCTTCTATTAAAAGATCAGCCTCGGGGCGAGATTTATGACGTCACGCTAGTTAGATATAACGGATTAATAAATATGTTGTAGAATACATGGAAAACATAATTATTCCTCGGATTTTTGGTTTGTATTTTAAAAATGATATAGTTTAAATGAAATATACATAATATACAGTTAATAACTACAACATATATACCTATTTATAGTAGACTGACATACTGATTAATCACGATCCTGCTCAAACCACTCAACGTAAGAAGCTCAATTTTGGCATACAGGTTGATTCTAGGGTGTAGAGGTTCGATAAGAAGGGATTTTTCGAAATTCCAGTTCCAAGAGGGTGAAACCACCCCTCAAATATTACAATATTTTTTATTTAAAAAACGGTCAAGTTTCCGAAAAAACACTTAAACACGTATACTTTATTTTGTTTTTTTACATATTTTACGATTTTTAAAAAATGTATACAGGGTGTTTTGAAAAATCTGGTCATTGATTAATAACGATCCAGCTTAAAGCGCTTGACGTAAAAAGCTGATTTTTGGAAAACAGATTGACTTTAGGGTGTAGAGGTTCGATAAGATGGGATTTTTCGAAACTCGAATTCTAAGGGGGTGAAACTATCCCTCAAATATTAAAATATTTTTTATTTAAAAACCGGTGAGTTTTTCGGAAAAATTCTTAAACACGTATATTTTATTTTGCCGTTTTACATATTTCAAGATTTTTTATTAATTTATACAGGGTGTTTCATAAAATATGACCATTGAGTAATCACGATTCTGCTTAAACTGCTTGACGTTTAAAGCTGATTTTTGGCAAACGGATTGACTGTGGGGTGTAGAGGTTCGATAAGGAGGGGTTTCTCGAATCTCAAATTCCAAGAGGGTGAAAAGGCCCCTCAAATATTACAATATTTGTTATTTAAAAACGGTTAGTCTTTCGGGAAAACGCTTGGACAGGCATAATTTATTTGGTTTTTTACATATTTTGAAATTTTTAAAAAATCATACAGGGTGTTCCAAAAAGTTGGGTAATTTCTTAATCACGATTCTGCTTAAACTGCTTGACGTAAAAAGCTTATTTTTGGCAAACGGATTTTTCGAAAGTCAAATTCCAACGAGATGAAACTACCCCTCAAATATTACCAAGTTATATAATAATATCGCCATATTGTTTTTTCTCATGCTGACATAAATGTGAGAAAATTTTATCCAGTTTGTAAATATAATTTTTATTGTTGTCGATCCAATAATATATAATGTGTTCTTTTTTTATAAATTGGATTAGGATCGAAAGAAATCAACAGAAGTTCTTTGTTTTAAATTTGTCGACGTTTCGCAAAATTTATTTGCATCTTCAGGACACTACAAAGTTAAGAGAGCAAAAATTACAATCAAATAAAAGTTTTTTTCCAAAAATTTAACAAACAACTTAAAATACATATCAGTGGAATTCCACACATATACAATTGGTAAAACTACCCTAATGTTAACAATTAAATAAAATATATGTATATGTTACTCACATTTAAATCTGGACTTTCTTAGTCATATCCATTAATACACGGATGGTATAGAGGGGAGTGGTATATATCCCTTTTTTCCTTTTAAAACACATAACACACTTACATAAAAAAAAACATATAACACAATTATGTATAGAGAAATATCACGAAAATCTTTTCCTTTCACAGACAAGCAGTGCAGATGTACCTACGTTGACCGTATACAGAGAGCAACTAATTCTAGTTGATAAAATACTAATATAATTTTTACCTGGAGATAAAGAACAGTTGAAAAAAGAAACATATAAAAATATTATTTGGATTTAAACCATTATTTTGAAGTTATATTATTTAATTTTTGAAAGAATATTAAAATATGCTGTACTCAGGTTTTCTACGTCTGTTCTTTTATTAACGCAATTTTTGTTTTTTTGGATTTCTATCATCTCTGCAAATAATCTTTTCTTATAATTAGATTGTGTTTGTAAAATAGTGGTATTGTCAAAATCGAAGTTATGGCCTGTCTCTATTTTGTGTTCTACTAATGCGGTAGGATTAGATTTCAAAAGAAAGTTCCTTTGATCATTTTTATGTTCATTCAATCTTTGTTTTAAATATCTACCGGTCTGCCGGTAGATATTTAAAACAAAGGACTTCTTTTTAACAAAGACAAAGGACAAAGATTTAAAACAAAGGACTTCTGTTGATTTCTTTCGATCCTAATCCAATTTATAAAAAAAGAACACATTTATCCAGTTTGTATGTTAATGGAAATTCTTGCTTTGTTTTATCATCACCATTACAAATGATTAATTCGTCGCGAACGAAGTCGCTGGTACACGCTAGTAACTAATATTTTAGTAATTAATTGATTTCTTTGTTTTATAGCTTATTCTACTTATTATATATTGGCAAAAACTAGACCATTATGAAGATTATTCTAAGCGTTATTAAGGGTTATTTATTTATTTATTGATGTAGGTACATCTTCCGACGCCATAAGTAGTAATAACAAGTAAGAGGATGTTATTAATGCACAAACTAATAATAACAGAATTTCATCAAAACTTACGTAGAAATAACTTTGAAAGTGGTGTAATGTGCTTATCAAACTTACCTCTCTGACTACAGTCAAGGGTAGAATTTTTTTTTAGAATTTAGAATGAGTGGGGGGGGGGTTAATCACTGCGACCTTACAGATCCATTGTGTCCCCCTTTCTTGAGTCATAACTCATCATACAGTCCCAGGGCTTTGACAAAAGCCAGTATCTGGGACGGTTTTATAGAGGGTAGTTCTCCATCTCCAATATCAGCTGTACCAAAATTCATGGCACGAATGGTTGTCGTCTCGGCGTACTCAGTGATGAGGTGTACTGGTGTTTCCTCATCTTCCCCACAGAATCTGCATTCGCCGTTTCTTCTTAGTTTCAATCTACTGAGGTGTTCATTGAGGAGACAGTGTCCTGTTAAAAACCCCGTGACAATCCGAAGATTGTTCTTACTTAAACCCAGGAAGATCTGTGATTTTTCTTGATCATAAGCCCTCAGAAACTTCTTCGAGTGTCTTAGACCGTTGCAAGATTTCCATTCCAGGTTCCGGATGGAATCTTCCAAGTTCTTGAGTTCCGCCTTGAGTTGGTTACTACTTGGAAAGCAGAACGGTTCTGGTCCAGTTAGTGGAGTGTTCGCTCCTTTCCTAGCTAGATTATTTGCTTTTTCATTGCCTTCTATCTTTTGGTGAGCAGGCACCCAGAGTAGGAGGACTTTGTTTTCTTTGCCTAATTTATTCAGCTTATCTATGCATTCTTTGACCAATTTCGAATTGATTGATACTGAGTTGATCGCTTTTAACGCTGCTTGACTATCAGACAAGATGGCTATTTCTTGTTTCCGATAGTTCCTATCTAAGATAAGTTGTACGCATCTTTCGATAGCGTAGATTTCTGCCTGTAGGATACTAGGGTAAGGGCCCATTGGTTCGGAGTATTTAGCTCTCGGCCCAAACACTCCGACAGTCAAGGGTAATAAAGGACCTTTATTGTCACGTTCTCGTTCAAAATAGTTTATCAGGGAAGCTACAAGCTCTTCCCTTCAACTGTTTAAATGCTTCGGCATATTTTCAACACATAATTTCAAGAAATGCAATACAAAAAGTTGAAAATTTAGTTCTTAAAAGAATTGTTTGTGCTTTTAAAGTACAATTTAAAAAAAGACCATGAAAATAGGCAAAAGAACGAGAATTACTCACAAAGATTCAATAACACCACGATATTATATAAAATAATGACTGACATTAGGGTTTAGGGTAATTGTCAAATAATAAACGGCAACCTTGCTGAAAACGTGACCAACATAGCGATAATAAAATTCGGTTTAAATTATTTTTTGCAGCTTTAATCTAAACAAAATATCTGTTATTATAAACGCCACGAATGTTTGGGAGTGATTCATCGCTTGATGAAATTAGAATCGACACGCGCGCTGTCATTTTTACATTAAAAACGTAAATTTTTACCGCAGACGTAGGTTTTTAAAGGCCCGGTCTAATCATCTGCCTGCGCTCAACCTACTTATTCTAAAATGTTAGCGTGATTGACAAAGACGATACTGTATCGCGTTTCTTTGATTGATTCGTTTTTGTGCGTCAGTCCATTAGTGTGCTTGCAGTGCGACCAATTCCAGTTTATATTTATAACCAAATATATGTTTTGACAAGACTTTGACAGTTAAAACAACAGATTATATATTGATTATATATTGATTATTATATGACTTGAAACACCACGGCACTGGAATTAAGTTTTATGTGACCTTGAGCAGATTAGTTCACATGGTAGCGACCATAGACTTAAAATAAAATATAGACTACACTATTTACATCTCAACGCGGTCAAAGAAGCTTTTTTATACACATGTTTACTTCTGGGTACAGTCGACCGAGCCTTCCTCATCCAGCCTATGTTGTCACGTCTTTATATTATCAATATTTTTTTTCTTGTTATACACATATATTGAGATATTAATACTACAGTTTAATAAGTAGGTTTTAATATTCCATAGATGTATTAAATAGTCCTTATTCTACTAAATTATAAGTCGGATACTGTTTAATAAGGATAAGTTCTTTACAATATGACAACACCGATTAGAGGCGAGGGAGCCTATTCATTCATTTATTACCTTGTAGTACGTGTCGCACGTGTGCGGTAAAGCTTTGTTGCCGCTATCTCCGCGGCTGTATTAACGCATTTTCTTAGCTTGTAGTCCTTAATTGTTTATTTTATTGACTTTTTCTGTTCAAAAACTATAAAATATGGTTCGCCAGTGCCAAATTTGCAAGAAATTTGACTTTAATAATCCATTTAAGTCTTGAAACGACTTTTGACCGGTAGGCAACTCTCAATTTACCCATTGGGAGTCAGTGGCGTTGTTGTAGAAAGGCGCTTATTTAGATAATATTTTAGTAAAATGTAAAATCTGATTTTTTTCTCTTACATTACATTATTTACTTACTTACATTGTAACAAAATCATAATTATAACCCTGTTAATAATAAATAATGTTTTTATTAAAAATATATTCCGGTTTATTCTAAAATTATCTTCAGAATCTAAAATAACATACAAGAATTTTAAAATGATATTACATTATGAAACAATATTTTTTAATATACCGGGTCGTCTCAAAAGTGGCTCACCCTATAACTTTTTATTTTTCAGATAAAAAAAAACAGATTTGTATGTTAGTAGGTATATGACATAAATTAGGATTTATTGACATATTCAATTGTTTTTAGTCTCTTCCTGTTTCACCGAAATGATTACATCTTTTTATTTTTTCAGATACCCTCGGTATATTGCTACTATATTCAATAAATTATGACACTCTGAATAGAATGACATATCATATGTCAACTTCCTGACATTGTCGCTTACATCTTATCCATTTTTAAATTTCAATCCAGGGTGCCATGGTATTCAATAAAAACACTAAGTTTTAATCAAGGAGCCTTGGAAAAAGAGTTTTGATCGTCTAATAGGTTTCGTGTCTTGTCTAGGTCGGTTAAAAGATGTACAAATCGTATTTTTAATCATACATGTCAATTTTTTCAAATGGAACAAGGGTGACTCATTAGCATATTTGGAAAAAGCATTTTTTTATGAATATATTAATACCACACGCTTGGTATTTCGAGTCAAATTGTCGTTATGAACCGCGTGTTACAATTACAATTAAACCATATGCGAAAATGTCAAAAGTTGACATATTATATGTCATTCTATTCAGAGTGTCATTTTCTATCGAATAAAGTAGAAATATACCGAGGGTGCCGTTTAAAAATTAAAAGTTATAGTCATTTCCGGTGAAACAGGAAGTGACCAAAAACAATTGAATGCGTCAATCAATCCTAATTTATGTCATATACTAACATACTAAATCTTGTTTTTTTATTTGAAAATATAAAAAAATTATGGGGATGAGCCACTTTTGGGACACACCCGGTATAATAAAGACAGTACCGAGTTAAATAAATATAGTTTTCATTTTATCCACTTCCTATCACCTTCCTTGCTTTAATGGAACAAATTTATGTTATCTCCAATTTACATAATAAGACATCACTTAACCAGAAAAAAAACTACAACAATAATATTTTTTCTTCTCTCGCTGTCGCCGATTCTATTATATCTGTGGAATAGATCCTGTTTTGATTAATATTAGGGGTTGTAAATGTTTGACTAAAATTAATAATTTATTATTAATTTCAAAAATTACCTAATTTCGATTATAAAATTTCTTCTATAACGTGTATTTTATTATTTTTGTCCTTTTCTAAGGGCTCTAAGACGTTTTTTTCTAAACTTTTATTTAAAAAACCTGTCCTAAATCTTAATAAAATATAAAAAAGTTTAAATACGATATATTTTTAATTTAATTATAGCTTCATTAAAATAAAAATTTACCCGGCTATGATACGGAGAGTTCAGCTGTACTTGAGAAACGATAAAGTAGGAGATGGCTCTAACATAAATAACAATTAAATAGTAATTCCGGTTTCGTCGGAAGTAAAGTAACCTTAATTTTGTTATTTTAAATAAAACACCCTGTAAATTCTTATATCCTACTAGTAAATTAAGTCGAAATGGTGCTTCACCTTTTTTTTGATTCACTGTTTCACTCACTTTTTAGATTCACAGACAGTGTTGTGTTTCTCGGCAGAGTTGTCAGGGAACGACCGTTACGACAGAGACAACGCCTATCGCTCGTGTCGCACTCGTTATAACCTAAAACAATAACACAACAACATCACAACAATAACAAGACATTGTCTGACCGCATGTTCCAAATATTTATGAATGAGATGCTCAGTCTATATTTTATTTTAAGTCTATGGTAGCGACCGATAAATCACTCCCAAACATTCGTGGCGTTTACTATACAATACTTTGCTCAATAAAGTCAAATAAAGAGCTGCTTGGTATCTTAAATTATACAACAAATTTAAACATTTTTGGCAAAATTTCATTTAGTGGATTCAGGACTACTGTCAATGTCGATATGATTGATGACGTGCATCGGAAAATGTTTTGCCATAAAAATATTAATCCAAATTGGGCTATATCTTATAATGTTATATTTTAGTACAATCTCCGAGCGCCAAAAGTTGCCCTTCCTCTACTTGCAAAGGAAGTGGCGCTGACATGGCCACGTCAACAAAACCATCCAGAACGCTTCAAAATCAGCCAAGTGTTCAAATACAAGCGACACAAAGCGTTCAGTTTTACACCGATGTCCAAGCTGAACCTAGTGCGAGTGGTCAAAGAGTAGTTGTGGAAGCTGCCGTTCAATCGGCAGTCGAAACAGAGATTTTAGCCACCGAACATGCTAATGTTGAATCAAGTACACAACAGTAACTTTTAATCCAGTGATTTCGAGCTTTAATTTATCATTACTTTTAATAGGTAAACGTAATGTCCATGCGAGTGTGCATCCTAGTACCCAAATGCCGCCCAGCCTTCACCCCAGTGCTCAAATAACAAGACCGCCAAGCAGTCATCCTAGTGGACAAATGGGTAATCTTCCTAGTACTCATCCTAGCGTTCGAATTGGTCACCCGTCAAATATAAACGAGCAAACTTGTGCTCAATCATGTGTTCAAATTCAGACCTCGGTAAGTGTTCATTCGAACATTGAAATAGGTCAAGTCGCTCAAGTTAATGCTGCACTCCTCCAGAGCAAAACTGTAAGTTTTCACGACGGCAGTCCATCAAAGACGACCCCAACCCCAAGACACCCCAAGACAGAAGTAGGGGCGTTAGCTAGTGTGCATTCCGAAGCTAAAACAGCATCGAAAGATTTTACAGCTAGCACGCAACTTGTTGAACAAATTGAAACTTCAATACGTGTTGATGAGATTGATGAGGCCCCAATTAGCGTTCAAATGGAAAAAGGAGTTATGGCTGCTGTTCCCGGAACACCATACACCGCTGTAACCGGTGCTTATATAAGTTTTCCAACTAATACTTATAATCCATCGCCGAAACCAAAACAAAAAGCGAAACCAAAAGAAAAAACTGTCATCGCTAAAGATAAGAAAATACAGAAACCTAGCCATCCAGGGGGTAAAATACCATCAGAAGGCGATGGTAAACGTACCCAGGCTAAATCAGACTCTTTACTTCAAGTAGATATTGACATAGAAATTGAGAAAAAAGACTGCCCCGAACCCCCTCCTACTCCAGGAGAAGACCCAAAAAAGTCGGTTGTGCCAAAGGTGTCTTCTGGTCTAAAAGACCCAAAAAAGGATAAGCCAAATGTGCTTTCTGGTCCAAAAGACCCAAAAAAGCCGGTTGTGCCAAAGGTGCCTCCTGGTAAGCCCGATAAATGCCCTTGTCAGAAAGAACCACCACCTCGTCCTAAAATGAGAAATCCAGGTGCTTGCGTATGTTGTACTTGCGTACCGAGCGATCAGGGTGGCGCTGAGGGCGAATCACCAGTGAGCGCACGGTCTGAAACAGATTTTGGCGACTCCGGAATAGTACTTTGCTATGGTGACCGTCCTCGTAATGAAGACGGCCGTATTGTCGCTGAGTATCGACAAGATGTTTTGGCTGCTCCTGTTTTAAAAACATCAAGTGGCATTCACTCCAAGGCAGAAGTAGGAGTGTTTGCTAGTATGCATTCCGAAGCTAAAATAGCATCGAAAGATTTTACAGCTAGCACGCAACTTGTTGAACAAACTGAAACTTCAATACGTGTTGATGAGATTGATGAGGCCCCAATTAGCGTTCAAATGGAAAAAGGAGTTATGGCTGCTGTTCCCGGAACACCATACACCGCTGTAACCGGCGCTTATATAGGTTTTCCAACTAATACTTATAATCCATCGCCGAAACCAAAACAAAAAGCGAAACCAAAAGAAAAAACTGTCATCGCTAAAGATAAGAAAATACAGAAACCTAGCCATCCAGGGGGTAAAATACCATCAGAAGGCGATGGTAAACGTACCCAGGCTAAATCAGACTCTTTACTTCAAGTAGATATTGACATAGAAATTGAGAAAAAAGACTGCCCCGAACCCCCTCCTACTCCAGGAGAAGACCCAAAAAAGTCGGTTGTGCCAAAGGTGTCTTCTGGTCTAAAAGACCCAAAAAAGGATAAGCCAAATGTGCTTTCTGGTCCAAAAGACCCAAAAAAGCCGGTTGTGCCAAAGGTGCCTCCTGGTAAGACCGATAAATGCCCTTGTCAGAAAGAACCACCACCTCGTCCTAAAATGAGAAATCCAGGTGCTTGCGTATGTTGTACTTGCGTACCGAGCAATCACGGTGACGTTGAGGTTGAATCTCCAGTGAGCGCACGGATTGAAACAGGTGTTATGGCTGCAGCTCTTTATGACAGGAATAAGTTTAAATATACCGATTTTGAAATACAGATTGATATAGAAATTGAAATAGATGACTCCTCTGATGAGGAGAGTGATTCAGGAGAAGACCCAAAAAAGCCGGATAGGCTAAATGTGCCTTCTGGAAGTGACACACCAGGCGGCGATGATAGTCATACCTCAAATAAAGATATCGATCCAGAAGATGATGTGCCTAGTGTGCCATCCGGAGGTGACAAATCAGGCGGCGATGATAGTCGTACCTCAAATAAAGATATCAATCCCCCGCCGGTTGTACCAAAGGTGTCTGGAAAGCCCGATAAATGTCCTTGTCAGAAAGAAACACCACCTCGTCCTGAAATGAGAAATCCAGATGCTTGCGTATGTTGTACTTGCGTAGCGAGCGATCACGGTGGCGCTGAGGGTAAATCTCCAGTGAATGCACGGATTGAAACAGGTGTTATGTCTGCTGCTGTTTTAGAAACATCAAGTGGCATTCACTCAAAGGCAGAAGTAGGAGTGTTTGCTAGTATGCATTCCGAAGCTAAAATAGCATCGAAAGATTTTACAGCTAGCACGCAACTTGTTGAACAAACTGAAACTTCAATACGTGTTGATGAGATTGATGAGGCCCCAATTAGCGTTCAAATGGAAAAAGGAGTTATGGCTGCTGTTCCCGGAACACCATACACCGCTGTAACCGGCGCTTATATAGGTTTTCCAACTAATACTTATAATCCATCGCCGAAACCAAAACAAAAAAAAGATAAGAAAATAGAGAAACCTAGCCCTCCGGGGGGTAAAATACCACCAGCGGGTGGTCCAGCTAGTACGCATCCCAGCTCAGAAGGCGATGGTAGACGTACCCCAATCGGAAATCTTAGTCCCTCTAAAACAGGCGCTTCACTTGAAATAGGGACTGATTCAGAAAGTGGGCAATACTTCTGCCCACCTTCATTCCCTTCTATTCCAGGAGAAGACCCAAAAAAGCCGGTTGGTTCAAAGGTGTCTTTTGGTCCAAAAGAGTCTTTTGATCCAAAAGACCCAAAAAAGGATGGGCCAAATGTGCCTCCTGGAAAGCCCGATAAATGTCCTTGTCAGAAATATGTGGAAACACCTAAAATGAGAAATCCAGGTGCTTGCGTATGCTGTACTTGCGTACCGAGCGACCACGGTGGCGCTGAGGGAGAATCACCAGTGAGCCCACGGTCTGAAACAGATTTTGGCGACTCCGGAATAATACTTTGCTATGGTGACCGTCCTCGTAATAAAGACGGCCGTATTGTCGCTGAGTATCGACAAGATGTTTTGGCTGCTCCTGTTTTAAAAACATCAAGTGGTATTCACTCCAAGGCAGATGTAGGGGTGTTTGCTAGTACGCATTCCGAAGCTAAAATAGCATCGAAAGATTTTACATCTGACCCAGAAGTTCTTAGGGGACTACCTGCAGCGTGTTTTGGTAACCTTGAGGAGTCCATAATTAGCTTTGGTCCAAAAGACCCAAAAAAGGATGGGCCAAATGTGCCTCCTGGAATGCCCGATAAATGTCCTTGTCAGAAATATGTGGAAACACCTAAAATGAGAAATCCAGGTGCTTGCGTATGCTGTACTTGCGTACCGAGCGACCACGGTGGCGCTGAGGGTGAATCACCAGGGATCGCACGGTCTGAAACAGATTTTGGCGACTCCGGAATAGTAATTTGCTATGGTGCACGTCCTCGTAATAAAGACGGCCGTATTGTCGCTGAGTATCGACAAGATGTTTTGGCTGCTCCTGTTTTAAAAACATCAAGTGGTATTCACTCCAAGGCAGATGTAGGGGTGTTTGCTAGTACGCATTCCGAAGCTAAAATAGCATCGAAAGATTTTACATCTGACCCAGAAGTTCTTAGGGGACTACTTGCAGCGTGTTTTGGTAACCTTGAGGAGTCCATAATTAGCTTTGAGATGAATGCAAAAACCGGCTCTTATATACGTCCACCAATTTTAAAGCCGAAACCAACAGCAAAAGCTCTCACCGCTAAAGATAAAAAAATACAGACGCCTAATCCTCTTGAGGGTAAATTACCATCGGCGATGAGTCAAACTTATAATCCAGTGCCGCTACCAACAGAAAATGTTCTCAGAGCCAAAGATATAAAACTGCAGACATCTAGGCCTCCCCCAGCTGCTCCAATAGTTTCAATAAACCCGGGTGGTACAGTACAAGTCCCCAAAAAGATAAGTGACCGTAATGTGCCTTCTAGACCTAAAACACTTAATGCTGAAATCGAAACAGAGACTGCTCTTTTGGCTGCCGTAGAAACGCAAGTAGAGCAAGCAGCTGTATTAACTAGTGCTCATTCTAAAGTTGGAGTGGGTGGTCCAGCTAGTACGCGAATTGGTGGACCGCCACCTAGTAGTCACGCTGGTGTCCATCCCAGTGCAGAAATAGTTGTATTAACTAGTGCCCATTCTAAAGTTAATGTGGGTCCAGCTAGTACGCATCCCAGTAAGCAGATTAGTGCAGCGCCACCTAGTAGTCACCCCAGTGCTCAAATAGGAGCGCCAGCTAGTGTCCATCCGAGTGGTCAAATCGCAGGACCTCCCGGTAATCCGCCTAACCAGCCTGGTGTTCCAACTCCTTGCCATTGTCCGCAGAGTAAGTCCGCTTCAATAGAACCGGGGAAAGTTTAACTATGATGTCGAACAATATAGCTAACTACACTCACATGCAAAAAAAAATCGCAACGAAGAAATTTTTTGTCAAATTTAAAGTGTTGTATTTGTGTTATTTCTAGCCCTGTTTTGATGATTTTTTTAGTTAGGTGTATACAGGGTTGATCTACTAGAGTTGACATACGACACGGAGTATTGTAACTAAACGATTAGATTTTTGCAAATTGTATGTTTTGGATTCGTTGAAGGTCTATTAGAGCTCCAATTTAAAAATACTTTTACAAGATACAGAGTGTCCCAAAATAAAAATATATATATACATATATATATATATATATATATATATATCAAAGTTGTTTTTTTTTTATATGGAACACCCTGTATATTATTCCATTTTTAGTTTCTACGATTAAAATAAAAGCAAATTTGATTAAGCTCTACCCCATTTTAATCTTACCGTTTTTGAAACATTTAGGTTTTTGGAAAAATAGAGTAACAATTTTCAAGCTTAACAAGCTTTTAAAACAAAATATTGTACCGAAGTATTTGTATTTACTAAATTTTCTGTTGCAGTAATAAAAATTATACTACCTTATACACAGTGTCTAAAAAATTATTTTAATTAATTACTAGATTCGTTAAACGGAACAATCTGTATATTTTAGGAGAATCAGATGCACAATTTAATTGTCTATCAAATTGTTTTATACCATTTTTTAGCTATCTCTTCAACTTTTCGTAGAAAATGCATTTTCTTATAATTTAGACCTCAGTTATCAATATACTTGTTTAAAAGATGTAACAAATTTTTAAAGAGTTCAGATACTAATATTGTCGATATAGTTCGTTTATTTCGTTATAAAAAATAAAAAAAAACTGTTTAAATATTTGTTAAAGAGGATCAATATGATTCCAGTATTCAAACTACGTCAATTGACTGTTTGCGTTGATTAATAATAATTGCTCCAAATACTAAAAAACTGAATTTTGTATGTGTATTAGACTAAAAGTGGTAAAAAGTAACATTTAAAAAGTTTTATTTAATTTGTTGACGAATGCTTATTTATAACAACAGAGGCGTTTATTCTCATAACTTATTATTATATTGATTTTTGATTCAAATCCATATTTATTTAGAATATGTGGTATATTTAATTAACGGTATACTATTTTATAAAGATTTGGTTTGTGTTTTTTGTATAGAAATGGACTAGTAATTTTATCGTTTTTAGCACCTGTACATTTTGTAAATTTGTTGCTTTGAAAACAATCTAAAATGTCAATATTCCATAGGTATATTGATAAATCTGGTCTAAATTATGAGAAAATGCATTTTCTACGAAAACTTGAAAGGATAGGCAAAAAATAGTATAATACAATTTTTGATATACAATTAAATTGTGCATCTGATTTTTCAAAAATATACAGGGTGTTCCATTTAAATTAAACAAGCTATTGGCGTTTAAATCTAGAAATTATTTAAAATAAATTTTTAGGCACTCTGTATGAGGTAGTATTATTTTTATTATTGCAGCACAATAACTGACCAGTAAATAAACTTCAGTAAATATTTAGTGTTAAAAGCTTTGATACCCTTGGAGAAATAAAGTCTTAAAATTTTTACTGCAAATTTTACAAAATTGAAAATATTTCAAAAACGATAAGGTTTAAGTGTGATAAATCTTAATCAAATTTACCTTTATTTTAATCGTAAAAACTAAAAATGTAATAATATAGAGGGTGTTTTATTAAAATAATACAACTTTGAAATTTTTTATTTATTTGGGACATTCTATATCTTATAAATATATTTTAAAAATAGTCCCTCAACGAACCCGAAATTTACAATTTGTAAAAATGTAATCATTTAGCTACAATACTCCGTGTCGTGTGTTTAAAACATCCTACACAATAATTTATTTTGTAATTTTTTCCTAAAATATAATATTTTGATCAGAGCCAGGATTCCTGAGCATTTTGTTATTTGATTCATGTCAATACATGCTTTGGTTAATTTTTAAGAGCAAACTGAACTGATCACGATCAATTTGCAATTCTTTTCAATTATCAATATTTTTTCATGTAATTTTTTTATATGACGAGATGGTTTTGGTGACTATTGTCGTAACGTCATATTAAGCTGCATTGAATATTCTATATTACATTTAAAAAAACGTTAAAGACTAACGATACAGTCTCAGTTTTAATAAACATTAATAACGATAACAGAAATAACGATATTAAGGAAAACATCTGTAACATTCAAAAAAAATTGTAAAAAATACAATAATACTTTGTATTGGCTTTCTTGGCTGCTATAACTACCTTTATATATCTGTTCATACTGTAAATGAGGCTGCATAATATCACATTACTTTGTGTTTTCCAATTCTTCTTTAAGGGTCAAGGGAAGTTCATTTAATGAAGCTGGTACCGCTTCGCGACCTCTAACTCTCCTGCCAAGCATTTCCTAAACGTCGAACATGATGGACAGTTCATAGCAGTATATAGTTCACAATAATCACAAAAGCCGCCCTGTCATATTGAATATCAATTTCAAAAAGGAACGATAAAAAAAATTGCAAATTGTTAGTGGCAAGTTGGTTTCATTTTTAAAAATTAACCAAGGCATATATTGACATGATTCAAAAAAAAAATGCTTAGGAGACATGGTTCTGGCCGTAACATTATATTTTAGGAAAATTTACACGAAATTATTGCACGGGGTGTTTTAAAGTTAAGGGAAAAAAACAATCCCTCGATTAACCTTCTATAATACGCCAAATAGCTAAACAATCATAAAAATAGGGCTTTAAATTTGACAAAAAATTTCTCCGTTGGGTTTTTTTGCATACGAGTGTAGTTTTCTTCCGTAGGAAATAATTTATTATAAGTATGCCGATTTAATTATTATTGCATAAACTATAGATAGACTTTCCCGTGTGTCTAGTTTGAATTAATTTTGTTTTTCTTTTCTTTTAAGATGCTATTCAGAACGAACCCGTTTCAACCCTACAAAACTACCGACCGATTGAGCAAGCGCATCCGTGTCAGACACTTTGCGACTGCCTAGCCTGCCAGTGTGCCCCTTGTCCCGACCCCCCCGGCGCCACAACCTTACCGTTGCTAGATCCCGGCAACAAGGAGTCCATCAAGTCGATGGACAATTCCACTTTGAAGGAAAACATCCAGGCGATAGTGCAGGAGAACCGACAGTGCCGCCAACAAATAGCGGAAATCAAGCAGGCGCTGGAGAGTATAAAGTGCGCCTGCGTCGAGGCGGAGTTCAGAAGCGCACACTCCACCGGCCAATCGGCCCAATCGCTGAAACCCTTCGTGAAGCAAGCGTCGAACTTCGGCCAAACCATGTCCGGCCTGAAGATGGCGCTCCGAAACCTCCAAGCCAAATGCCGCGCCAAGGACAAGATGATCGAAGCGATGACGGGTGAGCTGGAAGTGCGCGGCGGAGCGGAAGTGTTCAGCAAGGTGCTGGAGCGGTCTCAGAACATGTCCAGGGCTCCGGATTACGATCAGGGTGAAGACGTCCGGTCCACGGATAGATCGCAGATTGCCACGAATATTTTGTACGCGCCAACTGTGACGAGCGAGAGAGGGAGCAGTGCTTGTGCTTGCGACACGGTGAGAGACGTACAGTCGCGAGGCGTGGAGGCGCGGACTCACAAGCACAAGAAAAAGAAAGAAAAGCCTGGTAACAGGGTTTCTTGTTCGTGTTCGAAACATCAGATGATCCAGAAACGGGACCAGGACTGTCAAATGTTGGACCCGATCAGTTTTGAGGTGTTGGACATCAGAAGGATAACGGAGGACAGTTTGATAGTGAAGTGGACTAAACCGTCGAGCGATAGGGTGACTGGGTACGATCTGTTCGTCAACGGGACTCTCTCGTCCAAGGTGATGAGTGCTGTGAGGACCAGCGCCATGATGCACTCGCTGGACCTATCCAAAACTGTCCAAATAACTGTGTACGCGGTGAGTCGGTGCGGCAGGATCGAGCCGCCGGCCATCGCGATCTACGAGATCAATTCGAAAAAGTAAACGACTTAAGTTTGAGAAAAAAAATTACGATTGACATGATTGTGCTGTTTCTTTTGAATAAAAATTGTAACATCAAAAGTCTTTGATTATTTTTGTTTTATCAGTTCTGAATGGTGATGTATGAACCAAAACCACAGGTTGTTCGTTGGACAGCCAGTCGATTTTGCTAATTTTCCAGATGTCAAGTTGCCGTTCATTTATTGCTGACATTGTCATTCGTTTTGACACTTTAGTTTTGTATTACGAGTTTTTGGTTTAGATAAATAGTGTTGTGATACTTTAATCTTGAAAATGTTTACTAGCAGACCTTGCAGTCGAACATTGTTCTTTTTAGAATCTCTTGTAAAGTGTACAGGGTGTCCCACTAAGAATAGCTCTCGGCTGTATCTCGCAAAGTATTAGTCGTAGGGCTTACGAAAAAAAATATGTATTACTAACAAGACCATGAGAAATTGCTGGAAATTATTTTCAAGTTAGTAGGACGGCCGCTAGAGGGCGCAACTGCTATTAAAAATAAGAAAAAGGAGTTTTTAGACAATTTTGCCTAGATAACGGATACTATAAATAATAGATTCATAATCTTCAGTAAATTTTGCATATTTTTTGTTAGAACCATTTTCCCCTATCTGCCACAATAAAGTGGTGGGGGAAGGTTAGATTTGTTTTTATTTAAACATTAATAACTCCAGACTGGATGAACGAAATTTAACAAACGGGGCCTCGTTTAAAAAAGCAGTTAGCATCTTACTCTATATTATAGCGTATAAACAATAATAATAAGCTTTTGAATGTAGACGCTAGGGGACGCTGTCTTACAATTTAACAAACATTGCGCGTTTTTTCAAAAAAACTTAAATGCGATAGTATATATAATTTTAGCTGATAGTAAAGAGTAATAAAAGCTTAAAAAGTCAGCGAAAACCGCATCTTGATATCCTCTTTCAAACCGAAGATATTAGCAAAATTATAATAAGTACGAAAAAATAGACCCTTAATTACCTTATTTTTTTAACACGGTTACAGTAGCCCTCTTGATTATGACCATTCTAATAAAAAATAAGATAGAAACGATTAGTTTATTCTAAAATCGACAATATACCAGAATACGATAATACCAAATGTATTAATATCTATCTCTGGAAAAAAGATGCTTTTGACGTAATAATATAAAAGTCAAAGAGTTATTAAATCAACATTTTGATAGTCTTAGCCAAGGACTGTATATATTCTAAAGGACTGTTCGATCGCGTCAAATCGCCGCTGTCATAGTCGCCGTGGAATGCTACGTCACGCGCTGACCAGCGCTCCACAGTGCGGCGGATGGTTATTCTAGCGGGACAAAATCTCAAGAGGAATGTTTGGGACTTAAAATCTAAGAACGTAGCAAATGGTCTAATATATAGCAACTATATGGTTAAATTTATTTATTTATTAACAACTTAATTTATTAATAAATAAATACAAGATAATAAAACTATGATATTATTCGTACATGATACACAAAAACCGTATTGTAAACTATTGCCAAATACATAAAATTATGATATCAAAAAACTCTTTAGCAGTTTTTTTAAATTAATTGTAATCTTGTGACACCCTCTATAATTTATTTTAAAAAAATATATTTTATTTTGAAAGTAATAAATAAGATAGATATTTTAATTTTAATTTTAACACTCGGTAATTGTAAATTCATATATAGTAAGTATCTAAGACAATTTTTTAAACTCAGTGCCTTTTGATGGAGTTGTTTTGTTTTTATACTATCCGATTGAAATGAATCTTTTTGGGCATTCACCTGTTAAACTTGAAACTCAAAAGATCTACATCATTCAATATATCGATATTTAAAAAAAAAGTGAAAGTTTGATATCTGCAGAACAAAGGCAAGAAGGATTTTAACAAATAATATACGTACAGTAGAAAAGTACATACCTTTGGCAATCTTCAACATAATTTGGCTTTCTAATAAAATGTATAAGCACTTGTAAATATTTTGTTTTCAGTATGATCTGCCTTTGCTGAGCAGAAAACGACCAAATTTGGTTGATAAAAATGTATCGAAATACAAAGAATATTCATGCATTTTTGTATCAATTGGAATGTCTACTATTTATTCTTATCAGTACACATTTTTTGGCTTATTTCTAACCAAACGCTTTTGTCCCGCTAAATTTATCTTCCAACGCACTGTGCGCTCGTCCGTCAAATGCAAAAGTAACTGTCACTGTCTAAAATCTTTAGCGCCAACTTCAACTCGGTCAGTAGATGAAGATAGGAATTGAACTATCCTTATCTCTATAGTATCCTTGAGTCCTAGCAGCGTTTTTTCTCTTTTGAAGAAAGGCATTTTTAGAAAAGCAATCAAAAGATAAAAAACGCTGCTGAGACTATCAAATTGCTGATATAATAATATTTTGAGTTTAAACTATCTCTTTAAAAGCAACTTTTTTTCCAAAACCTACCATGAATTCACTGACGCGTCGTTTCTTAGTCACATTCATTGATATCTTAATTATAAGACATTAATACACCTAGTATTGTGGTATTGTGGTACATTGTCGATTTTTTGAATGAAATTATCTTTTCCGTCTTATTTTTTATTAGAATGATGAAAATAAATTAAAGTTAATAGCATAAAAAATGTCATTTTGTGGTAAAACAACGTGTACCAAATTTAGTGATTTTCGTCCAACAGGGCCCTGAGATATTAAAAAAAAACTTTTTAGGGGCGAAATTCAGGGGGCCGTAAATCCGAAAAGGGGGACCACTCGCCAAAAATAAAAAATACGGGTCACCTATTTATTTTTCAAGAATCTATGACCAAATTTTCTTGCATTAATTTCCGGACACCCTGTATTTATAATTAATTTATTTTTGTTTCCGAAAATATTTTGATTAAAAGAAAATATATAAAAGATGGCAACGCTGTGTCGATCAAGCTTAATCACTTGACTAAAAGTTTATTTGGTATAAACCATAGACTTAAAATAAAATATAGACTGAGCATCTCGTTCATAAATAGCTGGAACATGCGGTCAGACAATGTCTTGTTATTGTTGTGTTATTGTTTTAGGTTATAACGAGTGCGACACGAGCGATAGATAGGTTGTCTCTGTCGTAACGGTCGTTCCCTGACGACTCTGCCGAGAAACACAACACTGTCTTTCGTTTCTCAAGTACACCTGAACTCTCCGTATCATAGCCGGGTAATTTTTTTAATTTTAATGAAGCTATAATTAAATTAAAAATATATCGTATTTAAACTTTTTTATATTTTATTAAGATTTAGGACAGGTTTTTTAAATAAAAGTTTAGAAAAAACGTCTTGAGTCCAAAAAGGATAAAAATAATAAAATACACGTTATAGAAGAAATTTTATAATCGAAATTACGTAATTTTTGAAATTAATAATAAATTATTAATTTTAGTCAAACATTTACAACCCCTAATATTAATCAAAACAGGATCTATTTCACAGATATAATAGAATCGGCGACAGGGAGAGAAAAAAAATATGATTGTTGTAATTTTTTTTCTGGTTAAGTGATGTCTTATTATGTAAATTAGAGAAAACATAAATCTGTTCCATTAAAGCAAGTAAGGTGATAGGAGGTGGATAAAATGAAAACTACATTTATTTAACTCGGTACTGTCTTTATTATACCGGGTGCGTCCCAAAAATGGCTCATCCCCATAATTTTTTTTATATTTTCAAATAAAAAAATAAGATTTAGTATGTTAGTATATGACATAAATTAGGATTGATTGATGCATTCAATTGTTTTTGATCACTTCCTGTTTCACCGGAAATGACTATAACTTTTAATTTTTAAATGGCACCCTCTGTATATTTCTACCTTATTCGATAGAAAATAACACTCTGAATAGAATGACATATCATATGTCAACTTTTGACATTTTCGCATATGGTTTAATTGTAATTGTAACACGCGGTTCATAACGACAATTTGACTCGCAATACCAAGTGTGTGGTATCAATATATTCATAAAAAAATGCTTTTTCCAAATATGCTAATGAGTCACCCTTGTTCGGTTTGAAAAAAATGACATATGTATGATTAAAAATACGATTTGTACATCTTTTAACCGGCCTAGACAAGACACGAAACCTATGAGATGATCAAAACTATTTTTCCAAGGCTCCTTGATTAAAACTTAGTGTTTTTAACAACACCATGGCACCCTGGATTGAAATTTAAAATACGATTTGTTTTTAAGCGACAATGTCAAAAGTTGACATATGATATGTCATTCTATTCAGAGTGTCATATTTTATCGAATAAAGTAGCAATATACCGAGGGTGCCTTTAAAAATCAAAAGATGTAATCATTTCGGTGAAACAGGAAGAGACCAAAAACAATTGAATACGTCAATAAATCCTAATTTATGTCATATACCTACTAACATACAAATCTGTTTTTTTATCTGAAAAAAAAAATAGGGGTGAGCCACTTTTGAGACGACCCGGTATATTAAAAAATATTGTTTCATAATGTAATATCATTTTAAAATTCTTGTATGTTATTTTAGATTCTGAAGATAATTTTAGAATAAACCGGAATATATTTTTAATAAAAACATTATTAATTATTAACAGGGTTATAATTATGATTTTGTTACAATGTAAGTAAGTAAATAATGTAAAGTAAGAGAAAACATTCAGATTTTACATTTTACTAAAATATTATCTAAATAGGCGCTTTTCTACAACAACGCCACTGACTCCCAATGGGTAAATTGAGAGTTGCCTACCGGTCGAAAGTCGTTTCAAGACTTAAATGAATTATTTAAGTCAAATTTCTTGCAAATTTGGCACTGGCGAACCATATTTTATAGTTCTTGAACAGAAAAAGTCAATAAAATAAACACTTAAGGACTACAAGCTAAGAAAATGCGTTAATACCGCCGGGGACATAGCGGCAACAAAGCTTTACCGCACACGTGCGACGCGTACTACAAGGTAATAAATGAATGAATAGGCTCCCTCGCCTCTAATCGGTGTTGTCATATTGTAAAGAACTTATCCTTTTTAAACAGTATCCGACTTATAATTTAGTAGTATAAGGACTATTTAATACATCTATGGAATATTAAAACCTACTTTATTAAACTGTAGTATTAATATCTCAATATGTGTGTATAACAAGAAAAAAACAATTGATAATATTAAAGACGTGACAACATAGGCTGAATGAGGAAGGCTCGGTCGACTGTACCCAGAAGTAAACATGTGTACAAAAAAGATTGTTTGACCGCGTTGAGACGTAAATAGTGTAGTCTATATTTTATTTTAAGTCTATGGTATAAACTGTATCTAGTTTCAAATAAATGACTGTAAGTCGACTGGCTGTCTAAAATATAGGCTGTGAAAAAACTCTAGATTTTAGTATGTATTAAAATCAAGGTACGTATTAAACTTTATGATAAGAATTATATTAAGCAAATTTTCATTGAGAACCTCGAAATTGGTAGAATAAATTAGTGGAAGATGAATCCGCCACATAGATATAGACATTTTTTATAACCCGTTTTCCTTTATAAATTAAAAATAAAATAAACATTATTTTACTAAAAAATGAAACTCGTTTACTCATAATAACACAATTTATTATGAAAAACTGCCCTTTACATGCAGGTACAAAATATACAATAAATAGACATTTTTGATCGAACAAACGCATATCACGTAACACTATACAACAATTATACAACTAAAATATTCACTAATTCGGTTACAAGACATGCTTTATTCGAAGAGTGGAGTCCGGTACTGGCTGTATTGAACACTGTTGGCTTGAACGAGGTGATTTGAGGGTTTATTTAGTATCTGTAACCTCCAAAACCGCCCCCACCACCTCCACTACCTCCGAATCCACCTCCAAGTCCACTCTCATCTGCACCAGGTCTGTACTGGCCATCTTCGTTGGGATGCGCCCTATTGTATTCAATCGACCTAAAATATATAATTAAAAAAGTATTAAAAAAACACTACTCTTTATTTGCCTACTATTGCTACTTTAGTGTTTTTATTGTACCGTGTTATCGAAAAAAAATGGCTGGGGAATAACAATCGATAATAATTTTGACGATAAAACTTCAGTCAAAAATTAACAGAGGAAGATAGTGATAGAATATTTCTAGACACAAATTTATTTCCAAATAATTTTAAAAATCATTCTTACTCATTGAGACAGCCATCTTTGACGCAGTTTTTTTTCGATCGCATGACAGACATATTTTTTTTGTGTTTAATTAAGGTTTTACAAATTAAAATGTTCTGATGGAACCCTGATAAAAAATTGCTTTTCCATTGACGTCGATTGTCATATTCAGAGTCTTCAACAACTACAATGCACATACAGGTTGGGTCATTAGTGCAAGGAAGAGAAGTCCAATACCTTCGTTGTTGAAAAAGATATATAAAAAGTTCTATATTAATGTTACGAGTTTAAAATACAAAATGTACATTTACAGAAAAGATATCGCTTATAATCTTTAAAATATTAGCCATACCATAAAAAATACCCTGTATAAGATTAACTATGTTTTCCTTCACGGAGTTATTCTGTTATCCTCGGTGTTTATACAGGTTTTAAACACCCTATATACAACAAAATATTTTTAGGATAATGCATTCAATGCAACATTTATATACAACTTTTTCATATTTTTGTCCAAAACAACGACGATATTGGACACCCTCGCAAAATTGGCCACCCTGTATTTAAGATTTTTTTTTCTCCTGAACCAATTTTTCTAGTTTAAATCGTTTTTGAAATACCTACGTCAATAATATTGTGATTTTGGGTGACCCCATGTACAGGGTGAGTCAAATTCGACGCTTTTAAATGGAAACAACCTTTTCTATAGGAGATAGACGAAAACTAATATCGGTGTCTGGAGCTCAATTTTCATTAAACACATGATGGTGAAAACCGCACATCAATATCTATTACCGTTTCGGAGATACGGTTTTTTTTCAAAAATGTGCATTTTTAACAAATCGCTTTAACTTTTTTGCTATGGAAAATTTTGTATTTCTATGAAAACATTTCCAAAGCACCTTTTCACGTAGAATTTTAAGGTTTAAGTATATTTTTCTTAAATTAATAATTTAAGAGTTATCAACAGAAAAAATGATTTTTTATTTGGGACACCCTCTATATTTTTAATTAACTGAAAAGAATTTAAAATTACCTTTCCAAAAATATAGCACACTTGATATTTTGTTGCAATCCCTTTCGAAATACAGAATTTTTAAAAGTTCGCCACTTTTAACTAGTAGGCTTGGGACCCCTTATTGATGATATGCCCTTAATGGAACTCGAAAATATATTTTTCGAGCAAGACGACGCACCGCCTCTGAACGCTGAAGTTATCAGCAATTTTTTGAATAGCTAACCAAGATCCCAGCCGTTGGCTGTCGAGGCCGCCTGACTTAGTGCCCATGGATCTAATCCTATGGATATATTTGCGGAAGAATAAAGGTTCCATATTCTTCGGTATAATCTAGATAAGAATTAGAAATACTTCGCAGTTATGAGAGGGTATCTTTCACCCCCACTGAGTTAATGAATTCCGCCAAAAATTTTCAAAAACTGCCCCGTCTGTCCATAACAGAAGACGGTCGATATGTCGAACACTTGTAGCAAAATCTCACGTCTTGGTTTGCTATTTATTTTTATTGTTTATTAGATACAGTTTAAATATGGTGGCCAAAGTCTCATACAGCAGCTAACATCCCTGATTCAAAAAAATCTTTACCAACACAGGATACCAGATGAATGGCGAACCAGCACCACTATCTTGATGTTTAAAAGAGGAGATAAGAAGCTGCCCTCAAACTATAGAGGCATAAATCTTCTAAGCACCACACTAAATTGTTATTAGATATAGTTTAAATGTGTTGATGTTGGTTAAATATATTTTAAATTGTTATAAAATTCTGCATCTCTCATAGCAAATATTACGTTCGCTTTAATTGATGCTCACAGCTAGATTTTTTTTGCATTTTAGCCGGCGCCGTTCAAAGCCTACTTATTTAAAACGGGCAAATTTTTATATACTCTATATCTCGAAGAGGAATCGAGCAAAGTACAAAGTGTGTTATATTTTTGGAAAGGTAATTTAAAATTCTTTTCAATAAATTAAAAATATACAGGGTGTCCCATATAAAAAATCAAATTTTCTGTTGATAATTCTTAAGTTATTAATTTTAAAAAAATTATACTTAAACCATTAAATTCTACGTAAAAAAGTGCTTTGGAAATGTTTTCATAAAAATGCAAAATTTTCCATAGCAAAAAAGTTACAGCGATTTGTTAAAAATGCATATTTTTGAAAAACACCTCGTAACTCCGAAACGGTAACAGATATCGACATGCGGTTTTCACCATCATGTTTTTGACAAAAATTGAGCTCCAGACACCGATATTCGTTTTTGTCTATCTCCTATAGAAAAGGGTGTTTCCATTTAGAAGCGTCGAATTTGACCCACCCTGTACAAAAGCAAATAGCTTTGTAGAGCAAAGACATATAGAAAAGAATTATACAAAAAATAAAGTTGAAAAGCAGTATGGAAAATTTAAACCAAGCAACTTACAAAAAAATAAAATAAAATGTAAAGAAAGTTTATTAAAAAAGACAAATAATTTTACAAATTAATAATTCAAGCATTAAAATGAAACAAAAAATCTTAGAATTACTTTTCAAGTCAATATCACAGCATTAAAAGCAACTAAGATGGAACATGCAGCATATTTTTTGTATTATGGAATAATATGCGATATTAAACAATCATTATTAGTAAAAAAAACTGTAATAAGCATGCAAAGAAAGTGTTTTATTTAATGTTTTATTGAAATAAAATATTACCTACCTTAAGCTACAGTATTAAAAATAATAAGCAAAAGCATTTTAAGTAAGCATTTGGCAATTCACCACACTAAATTCACTCTAAAATTAAGAAGCATTTGTTCATAAGCGCCAAGTAGAAAAAATGTTTAAATGTGTGTCAATATAAAATAATTATGGATTAACTAAAATTAATAGTTAAGAATTATTAATGTTAATAAATAAGAAAAAAAATGTATTTTTAATTTCATTAGTACCAAAAGTAAATTATTTTTTTTGGATAATGCGTCGAGTGCCTTTTTTTAGACAAATTAATATCAAGCAAGTTACTATAAAGTAAAATAAAATCATATAAATTCTAAAAACTAATTAAAAATAAATTTTGAAATCCAAAACAGCGATATAAATAAATATGTATTAAAATAATAATTTACATAGAAATATAAAATATTACTATGAAAGCAAAAAAAGCAAGCTCTCAATAAACCTACAGGGTCAACAATCGTTTAGGTGTTATTTACAAACCCAACCAAATACAACTAATTCAAAAACTCGATGCACACTTCCAACGATCTATGGAAATATCAATTATATAGCCTAGAAAACGATTTAAAACGCTTGTATTATATTGTCGGGCCATCCTTTTGTTCGATAATGAATTATTTTAAGGACTCCTTTCACGAGATTGATTAATAGAGCTCGAGCAAAATGATTTCGACGTTTCAACACCGCAAATTGGAAGGTTATACACGTCCATCTAATGGATCTTTGAAAATATTATACTGATGATGCACTCTTATGGTTTCGAAACGTCAGGTTATTATTTTCTGATTCTGTATTTAGAGAAAAAATTAAAAAAAATGTGTGTCAAAATGTTATTAAAAACAGCACATATTTTGAAACTTACTATATTAAGGGTGCATTCCGTTGCTTATCTTAGTTATGGTTTTATATTCCGTTTCTGTCAGTTTCCTGAAAGTTTTCTTATTACGGAACACGGTTCCTGAAAAATTCGGTTATAACTGTTACCAAACTAACCAGCGCGACAAAGCTGGTTTTTCTGGTTTTGTTTGCCAATCAATGTCATTTATGTGACAGAAATCAAGCAAATATTGGAAGTTCGGGTGAAATTCCAATTTAATTTCTAAAATGTGTAATAATATTTTGTATTTACATCCAAAAGCAATGTATGTAGGCAGTAAAGGTAAATAAATTTCATTAACTGAATAGAATGACTTTTTAGGACCATTTAAACCTAGCCATTGTTTTTTATAGTCAGGAACATTTAAAGAAAACATGAAAAACAAGACAACAAGTAATCGTGAATGTTTTGTAAGCTATAAAAATATAAATATTGATTAGATTTGTTTATTTATTACTGATCTGTTTTAATATTGGACCTGCAAATCTTCATTTCAGCTGTCTAACGAGTTTAACAGTTTATTAATAAAGTACTTTTCAAATATTAAACTCCATTGAAAAGAAGAAGCAAACGTATAAACATTAAAAATGCATAAAAGATAAATTTTATAATAGAGGTATTGAAATTTAGTTAACATTTGATGTTTCCAGTATTTTACCAAACCGTTCAGTATCAAACCTATGTTTTTCAGGAACCGCTCTTTACCGTAGTTTACCGGTCTGGTTCGCCTGGTTTTGCAACGGAATATAGCCTAAGTGAGACCAACAATGGATTTTGGGGTTTACTATGACAGAATAACATAAGCTTGCATTAGTGTTGCAAAAATTGAAGGATTTCTTCAATATGAAGGATTTTACAGTTAAATTTTGTCGATTGAGGGACTGAAGGATTTTTATCCAAAAAGAAGACCATATAAAGGTTTCTGGCAGTTTTGCACAATAAAAATTGTTAAAATATGTAGAAGGAGCATTTATTGTTTTACCTACATCTATTTTTTTCACTTTAACGGTGTTTAATTAAGGACGCCTTAGTTCTAATCACACGAGTGTTGTAATCATGTTTAAACGCATGTGTCATGTACCACGTTTTATCTACAACCGAAAAATAAGAAAATGCTGTTTTAATTTTCGTTTGTTAGTCGCCCACCTTTAACACCTTTAACTATGACATTTGTCACATTTTTTTAATTATAATTGTGGAGAATTGTTAATTGCGCAGCACATTTTGGGGATCAAGAATCGCTGAGGAAGCATGCCAGCCCGAGTGCGAGCCAAACCGATCAACAGCCTAATCTATTTCAGTTAGACCTTCGCCATCGTCATCATCATCAGCAGCAGGAATTGTCTTGAAGAAGTGTAAAAAATGTCTTGTTAATATTTATAATAATTAGTAGTAGGAATTTGTATCAAAAATTAATATATTTAGATGTTCGTAGTTGTTTTTAATTGTTATAAAAACTAGTTGTGTTATAGATTCATAACATCACTATTTGTGTTATGAATCTCATATCGAAACTGAAATACTAAAAAAATGGTAATGTAAAAATGTTATAACTAAACGGTTGTAGATAAAAAAATGTATAATGTTACTGTCGAGTATCTATCACATCGCATTTTTGAACGTGTTATTTTTTTAATAAAAAGTTTATTTAAACACATAGGTGTCCAAAGATTACCGGAAATAAGTTTTTGAAAATTTCTTCCTAATTATTCTTCTTCTTCCTTCTTCATACTAGGCGAATCGCCTGTTTGGTTTCGTCGTCTCTACCGGTTAAACTGACAAGTTGTCGCTCCATCGTTTTCGTGGACGTCCTAAGGTTCTGCGATCTAGCGGTGATTTGTCGCGTGCAACTCTCACTATCCTTCTGTTGTCCATTCTGCTGATATGCTCGTTCCATTCTTCCTTTCTGCTGAGTACCCACTCATTTACATTTTCCACCTTGCACACTCTTCTTATGCTTTCATTTCTCTCCCTGTCCAGAAGCGTCTTTCCAGCTATTCTGCGTAGTACTCTCATTTCGGTTGTTTCTAGTAGTTGTTTAGTTTTCGCTGTATCAGGTCGAGTTTCTGCAGTGTATGTCATTATTGGTCGTACCGTTGCCTTGTAAATTCTCGCTTTAGTCTCCACCTCAATGTTTTTGTTTCGCCATATTGTATCATTCAGGCATCCTGCTATTCTGGTTGCCTTCGTTGTCCGTTCTCGCACCTCCGCTTCTACATCACCATATCTTGAGATTTCTATGCCTAGATACTTAAACTTCATCTCTTGCTGAATAACATTGCCCTCGACTTCCAGTTTGCATCTTAGTGGTACTTTTGATGTCGTCATGTATTTAGTTTTCTGGGTCGATATTATCATATTAAGTGATTTCGCAGTGCAATTAAATCGATGTAATAAGCGCTGTAGATCGTTCTCATTTTCAGCTACCAATACGGCGTCATCGGCATAACATAGAATAGTAATTTCCTGGTCGCCCATACTGTATCCCTTCAGTAAACGTACATTTCTTATTATTTTGTCCATAATGATGTTGAAAAGAAGAGGGCTCAGGGAGTCACCTTGTCGGATACCACAGCCTACATTTATTGGTTCGGTCAGGACCTCGTTAATTTTAGCTTCAATCTGAAGTTTGATGATCTGGTTTCAAGATCTGGAATTTTTTGTGAAGTTGAAGGAATATGAAAGTTTTCTTAAGGCGCCGTTGAAAAAAATCGCTCAAAAATTTCTTGCAACACTGCCTGGCGCTCTCTTAAGTACCCCAATGACACAGTAGATTGAAGCTAAGAAACAACGGCAAATGCAGATTCTGTGGGAAAAATGGGGAAACACCAGAACACCTTACCACTGAATGCGCCGCGACAACAACCATTCGTGAAGCCATAAACTTTGGTACGACTGATATCGGAGACAAAGAACTAACCTCTATAAAACCGTCTCAGATACTGGCTTTGTTAAAGTCAAGAGTGCTTCTTTCATACAATTTGCAATGCTAGCATGCAGTCTTTAAATCATTAATTAATACTAACCTTAATATGGCTTCTGGGATTGGTGGAGGTGTTGGCAGATGACTACCGGAAGGTACAAAACCATTCTCGTCAGCGGTATATTGCAAACTTATCCTCTGACCATCTGGAGCAGTGTATGAGAAAGAACCACGGGCTTTGGTACCATCGCCTCTAGCATCGCCAGATTCTTCGGCATTGATACCATTTCCAGTCTCGTACAGCCAATTGTATGTACCATCGCCATTATTATTGTTCACGTACCTAAAAACAACAAATAACAAATAATATTGCAATTCAGAAAGTAAACAGAACCTTTACAATTGTATCTTTTATATACTCAGGCCTTAAGGCAATATAATAAGCTTCTTACCTAACTATTGGAATATTTTGCCCTCCTGAATATCCTCCAGGAAATCCGGAGCCGCCTCCGCCAAATCCTGAACCTCCAGGAAACGCTCCGGCTCCTCCTCCTCCTCCTCCAGGTGCTCTGGGTGGGAGGTAAGCTACATCTCCCAGGGCTACACCGAAAAAGGCGGCTACTAAAATCTGAAACAAAAATAATAGTAAAAAGCAATCATAAAATAGAATAAATAATAATACAGAAAATAATAAAATAAATAAAAATAAAATAGTAATAATGAATAGTAATAAAAATATATTTTCTTATACAGGGTGTTTCAAAAAATATTTAATCATTATATTATATCAAGTTAGATTCGATTCTGCTTGGTTTCGTAGCTACAGAGTGTCAAAGTCTACATTTTTTTCGATTTATTATAATTTTCTTTCAAGTGCTTTTGTCCTGTATATGTTATATGTGCATATTTTTTTCTAATAGTTTCTCTTGAAATGATAGTAATGAATATTAAATAAATGTTTGTATTAATCTACTACCTATTTTGCCATATTATTCAGAAATTATGTTTTTTAACTGAAAACTAAAAAAAAATTCAATAAATTCCAAATTTTCCAAAAAATTTCTTCACGAAAAAAAACTCATAATGGTGTTTCTGTGGTCGAAATATACCACTAAAAATATTTGCACTTATTTAAGACTCACCCTGTATAGTTTAATTATTAATATGTGTTACCTACGCTGGTAATTGGAGTAAGCTGTTGAGTGTTGTAGAATAAATAAATAAATAAATAAATAAATGAATTTAAAAAAATCACACAAAAATAGACAAACTTAAAAATAAGTAAATACAATCAGTACACTGCAAATATAAATTTAAAAGATTTTTGAATATTTTATTTTCTGATTGAAGGGGGAATAATTTACAGTATTATTAATATAATTCACCGTCTCATTGCACTAACTTAAATCCACGTATTTTCACTAATACCACCGAACCCTGTATAACTTATTTGTTACTTACTACTAATTTCATCTTTGGGCAGTCGAATCACTCTGAACTAACCTGCCCGAACTGCAATTATTTATACGGATGGGTCATCCTAATCCACCCTTGCACTTTTGCATCTATTTTGCATCTAAACATCTTCAGTACCCCACCACAAAGCTCATCCCATCGGAAGAATGCGATGATACTCCTATTTCGTGCCAATTTTTAACCTGGCTTCGATTATTGAGAGCAAACATACCGGGACACTTCATTAAGTTTGTATTTTGAAATTTAGAGTCCTTATTGCGTGATGTTAACAGACAGAATGGTTTAATATTCGTCAATTTATTATCAATAACTACACGCATGGCCAAAATTATTGCATATACGAGCCCTAACAACTATATGTTGGAACAAGGCCATATTTTGGAATTATTGCCCTGGTTTATAAAAATGACTGAAAAATATATGTTTAATTTTTTAAATATAAACATAGCCATATATCCTAAACAACTTGACAATATTTTTATGAATTTGTAAATCAATCCATATTTACAGTAGCGGATTTTGTTCATAAAAGGACAAATTTGCTGACAACTAAATGTTGGGACAAGTATTTTTAAATAATTAATATCATCATAGGCGGCTTTGCTATAAACGTCACAAATGTGTTTACTTCAGCATTGACAGCTTGTAAGTGACTCGATACTTTGAGTAGTGAGATTTGCTGTAAGTAATTTTAATTTTTATAATTATCAATTTTGTTAATTTAATTCTAAATAATGGTCCGTGGAAAAGCTACAAATCAAAAACTACGCAAAATTATCATGCGTCAATACAGTACGGGAAAAACAATTCGAAAAATTTCTGATGATTTAAGTATTCCAAAAACCACGGTCTTTAAAATAATAAAAAAATACGGCGAATCTGCCAATGTAGACGTTAGAGGTAAAAGTTCGGGAAGGCCAAAAGTTGTATCTCAGAGACAAAATGTAGAAAATTTTGCAAGTCTGTGAGAAGAAGTACTCTTTGCGAAGTAACAGTTAAATGGAATACTGTAACTGGTTTAAATATATCAAGAGAATGTTGCCGAAAATATATCCATAAATGCGGTCTGGGGTTTTACAAGGTAAACTTTATTTTGTGTGGATAATCAATTACCTGAAGATTATTGATACAAATTCTTATTTAGGCTGAAGAAAAACCGCTACTGACAGAAATTCAAAAGAAAAATCGCTAAAATTGGGCAAAATCTAAATTATCGTGGACACAAAATGATTGGAATAACGTCATATTTAGTGATGAGTCTAAATTTGATGTTTGCGTTGGAGATCATCGAAAACGAATAATACGAAATAAAGCAGAAGCCTTTCATAAAGATTGCTTGAAAAGGGTTGTTAAATTTCCTAAGGGGATTATAGTTTGGGGTTGCATGTCAGCAAGAGGTTTGGGCAAATTAAATTTTATAGATGGCACTGTTAACGCCCAAAAATATCAACATATACTTGAGACCTCACTTTTTTGAGACCTCAATTTTTGCCTAGTGCTCTTGAACTGTTTCCAAACGAAGACTATATTTTCCAACAAGATGGAGCATCGTGCCATTCAGCAAAATCAACTAAAAATTGGTTCGGTAATAATAATATAAAAGTTCTATCCCATCCTGCAAGTAGTCCGGACCTCAATGTTATAGAAACTGTGTGGCATAAAATGAAGCAATATTTAAGAAACCACCCTCAACGAACAATTTTTGTTTTGCGGACAAAACTGCAGGAAATTTGGGATAATTTTTCTCATCAAATGTGCCAATCTTTGGTAAATACACTGCCATCAAGAGTTCAAGCAGTTGTTAAGGCGAAAGGTGATGTAACTCCGTATTAAACAAATTTCTTGTTGTGCTTTCCCAATATATAGTTGTCAGCAAATTTGGTTTCATTTTGGCAAAATAAGGTATTATCAAAAGTGATTTGTTTGCAAAGTTATAAAATATAGTAAAATTGTCTAGATAATATTGTAATGTTTGAATTTAGAATAATAAACAAAATAAATTGAGTCGTTTTAACAAATTACAATTTTTATTGCAAAAAAGACCTTGTCCCAACATATAGTTGTTAGGGCTCGCATTGTTTAAAAATATACGGAAAGGAATTTAAAGAATCTTTTTTTATGCATAGCTTTGATAATCTGTAATAAACATTTTTTTGTTAAAATGGATATGGTAAACAATGTTTATCGTTCAGACCCAATATTATTACAAATTCTTGCACATTTCGATTTGTGATCTCTTGGGTTTCAGAAGAAATTTGACCATTTGGTTTGGCCTTAAAATGCCTAGAAACATTATTTCACAGTTTAATAGAGTTAGAATCGTAACACTGTCTCAACAGGGCTGCCGGCAAGTTACCGGGAGACAAACGAGGTTACACACCGGCCTGGAGGAGGTAGAAAGAGAATTACTACCGCTGTGCAAGACCGTCAAATATCCCTAATTGCACGACGCAATCCCCTGTTTTCTAGTACAGCTATTAAAAATGAGTTAGCTCGCCTTAAAGGAGTAAATGTTTCAAGAAAGACCATAACAAGAAGACTCCATGACAGAGGATTACATTTAAGGAGGCCTCTACGTGTTCCGAAGTTTCATTTACAGCACAAAATTACGCGACTACAATGGGCTGAGGAGATGAGAGCAAATGGACCTAATTGGAATTTCGTCAGTGATGAAACAAGAAGAATAGGCCTAGTGTCAGACTCGCGACGAACTTTGGTCTGGAGAGCATCTGGAAGACGAGCACTCTTAAATGCAGCTCAACCCCGTGTCCCGTTTCAAGGGAGAATCATATGGTATGGGTAGGTATAGAAACGTTTAAGAGTCTATTTTGCGCTCATTCCGAGGGGCAGTGGGGGATGAATTTGTTTACATGGACGATAATGCTCCTCCCCATCGCACTTGAGCTGTTCGCGAATTTTGTGAGAAAGAGGGTATAAGAAAACTGTAGTGGCCACCGATGTCTCCAGATATGAATGTGATCGAGCATGTCTGCTTGGAAGATAATGCTTGGAGTCCACATAAAAATGCCCTAGAGCGTTTGGCCAGAGCGTTTAGTAGTAACTTAAATTGAAAAAATACAAAAAATATAAGACCATACAAATAGATTATCTTTGAAACAGCCCCGGTAAAGTCGATTGGTTTTATTTAAGGTGGCTCAAGGCTGTTGCTGAAGATGGGTTCCGAAAGAATTCTGCTCCGGTAAATGAAAAGCAGTAATTTTTTAATTACCCCCCTTCAGGAAAGCCTTGTAATTATGAGAAGTCTATTTGTCGGAGACCAACCTATTATTACGATTTGCAATAGTCGTAAACAGGCATTTAAATAATGTTTATAGCTAAGTACAGAAACAGATCAAGTAGTTTAATGATTTTAAAAGAAAAGTTTACATAAAAAATTGTTTTGCAATACAGAAAAAAAATGATCCAAATTTATATTGATTGAATTTTAATAGATAAATAATGTTTTTTTTCCATAGCAACTGTTAAAATTTCCTTATATCTATCAAAAATAGTAGATAAAATAGTATTTTAACCGCAAGGGTAGATTAAATGATACTTTAACAGCGAGGATAGGTTAAAAACTTTATTTCTTCTCGCTGGTTTTTTGATTGCTTCCATTTTTGAAAATGTTTGTATTCCTTTTCATAAATAATTCGGGATTTAAATGGAAGTAGTTTGGATATGGCGTTTGTCGCCTCAGCCTGAATATCTGTTGGTAATTTACTTATTTCGTTTTGAGCCATTTCTGCCTCTAATTCAATCAGCAATCGACACGAAAGTGAATTAAAAAATATTGACTCAAAATTGACAACTAAAGAGACAGCTTTATTTATTTGTCAAATTACATGAAAACCAACGCCAACCCAGCACAATATTTTGTCTACTCGTAATAAATTCCTTGAAATAATAATTTCTGAATATTTTTTAAAACGTAACTCGCTATGGAAAATATATTGTTTATACACGACGATAAAATTACATTATCGTATCCCGAAATTAATTCACTCGCGACTTCATCGCTCGTGAATTAATCTTTTCGGTCGAAGATAAAATACCATTTTATCGTCTTGTATAAAAAATAACTATCAAACGAGTCGATTAAATGAAAAATCATATTAGACCTTTTTTGAAGACCGTTCGATTTCCTACAAGAATATGTATTGATGTTTACAGCATTCTGATTTGTTAGAGTGTTAGAGAAAACTCTGTAGAATACTAAATAATTTTTATACTATACTAAAATCTGATTAACTGGAATTTTTCCAAAGCGTTTATTCAGACTAGAGGCAACTAAAGTCTGGTTCACGTGGAGGAGACGCTTCTAGAGCCAAAGGTAGCTAAATATTCTATGGAATATATCACATATACATAGAAAAATTCTGTCACGTCATGAAATACGTGGAAAGTATTATTATTAAGCTTGATTTTTTTTTACTTGAACAAGTAAAGCTGGCAGGTAAAACATTATGAATACGGAACATAATACCTTGAAGGCTCCACAATAATCAATTTTAAAAGATTTTTCCCACGCGAATCTCATCCTAATTAACAATATTTCAGAAGATGCAACGCCGGTGCACAAAATGCAGCAACACATGCTCGCATAAATCTGTTCATTTTGCATTTTCGATCTGAGATGTAGGTCGATATTTTTCAGGCCAAAGGTTAAAATTAACAAATAATCCATCTAGCACGGATCCAATCAATTTTCCAGACTGATTTAGAAGTTCTAATAATTGCGACGTAGTACCTATATATAATGTCAAATTTGATTTTTGGTTTCTTCATGCATGAACACACCAAATTAACCCCATAAATATCATGTACTACCTACACTACATCTTGAAATAACTTAACTCTTAAATTAAATGTTATTATTAAGATATCCATATACAGTATGTTCCCGGGTTGTCTTTACAAGAGGAAATTTTTTTATTGACATTTTGAAAAAAATGTCCTTTCCTGTTAACTGCATAAAATGATTGTATTTTCAAAAGGATCTTTTCATTTTAAAAGGCATTTATGTGGAGTTCTACCT